TTTCCCATGATGAACAGCCCTAAAGTCAGCATTCACAGGGATTAAATCCACATTGTTTACTAACCTGTGCTTTAGATTTGCCGACATGCTTCTTCTGGAAGAGGAACTGACGGTTCAGGTTGCTGACATCAATTGTGTCCAAGTCAATCTGCAAAATCAATTGGGTTGTTATGTTAGTCACAAATATGCAGTGTGATACAGAGCACAGCTAATTTAAAGCAATCTAGCAAGTAAGAAGATTTACATTATCTGATCAATTATCATTTCATAATAATGACAAGTCATTAGATACATTTTGAGGTGCTCACTGATTTGTAAAAGTACTTAATGTTGATCGATTAAAAATAAATCATTTAATTGGCTATATATCCACGTGTTGAGTCATATTGAAGTTGACAAAAATAGTGTGGCCACAGGAGGTCTTATGTGAACAAATCTGGCCTATGGATGATGCTGTGAATAAAAATGTCGTTGTTAATTATTCCTGAAGGCTCCGCGACACACATTGTTCTACTCTCACTCGCAGAAAGGGGACAAGAACACCCTGTGTGAAATAAAGACGATGCAGCCCCCATTCGCAAAACCTACAAGAAAGAAAGTTTCAGCCAAAAGGTCGAACACATCCAACTTGATACAGCATCTGAGAGATTAGATCACCACCCAGCACAACACTTTCAGCTCGAGTAATGATCCTGCCTAACAACTGAGTGATATTACAGAGGCGGCAAGTTGCTCAATAAAACATGGAGTTCGGTCAGGAATTGTCACTTACAACAAATGACGTGACGCAGTGACAGTTCGACCTCAGTAATGTAAACAATATGTCATCTATCAGGGACTGTATAATGTTGCTTACTATGTCTGTGTGGAGGAAACAGTTAGCATTGTAAGTTATTATACCAGGTAGAAAAACGATGACGCCTTAGGCTGCATTTTTCAGTTTAAACGGGAAATGCATAGCTAAGCTGTAACTTTACAATAAATACAGAAAAGACACAATAATAATAATAATAATAATAATAATATTCATTATGATTTATTATCACTGTTAAATTATTTATGCTTTAAAGGCAGCAACAATTATTTTACACTGGATTATTTGACTACTTTTTAATTTGTGTTTTAAAAAACACATTTACTTTCTTAAGGCTGTTCATTAGTAATGTTGTGAAACTAACGCCAAATAATAGGGAGAAACGTCAAATCTGGACTATTTCTCAGACTATATAATGTCAAAATCCATAATCGTTGCATCCCTACCCCGACCAAACATTTGAGTTTGACACCTCTGCAATAAAAACATGATAGACACAAGTATCACTTTCAACTCTCCACATTAAATATCCCACTCACACCTTGTAATTTAAAATGTGTCTTGAAGACCCTCAATCTTATTTACAGGTGAATTACAGATAATATTAAATAATCATTTTCATCAGCATCCTTCAAGGACCAGATGAGATCAATGTGCCTTTCTTTGGTATCCTGGGCCAATCAAACGCTCTAAGCATCTACGAGACCCCTCTCAAACACAAGACCCCCCCTAAACCCCCTCAAACACAAGACCCCCCCTAAACCTCCTCAAACACAAGACCCCCCCAAACCCCCTCAAACACAAGACCCCCAAACCCCCTCAAACACAAGACCCCCCCTAAACCCCCTCAAACACAAGACCCCCCCTAAACCCCCTCAAACACAAGACCCCCCCCAAACCCCCTCAAACACAAGACCCCCCCTAAACCCCCTCAAACACATACATTAACACCTAATGCTGGGCAAAGAGGACATACAGGTTTTAATTTTAAAAGTGTAATTTCTGTTTAATGTTACACATCTCGTGTGTGTGTGTGTGTGTGTGAGTGTGTGTGTGTATACAGTGATAATGGCGCCAAATGTTCCCGCAGTGTTCATATTCTCGACACTTCCTCTCAACACCTTCTGACTTTGTATGTCCACAAACACTGTAGAGAAGAAACCAGAGCACCTGACACTCCTTCACACTCCTTCACACTCCTTCACACTCCTTCACACTCCTCTTGTCAGGACTCACTGTCTGCACATCTCCGAGCGCAGCGCCACACAAAGACATGCCATGATAGCTTAGCTAGCTAGCACACAAACAAACATTACGGACCACGTCGATGTTTTTGAAGCCGGTGAGGACGAGGTTCTTCAGCAGCTCGCAGCCGATTCCTCCCGCTCCCACCACCAGCACCTTGCAGGTGGAAAGGGAGTCAGCCAGCTCTTTCCGAAGGGAACCCACCAGTTGTACCATGATGATCGGCTCTGCAGCAGCACAGGGAGGATGGCGGCAGCTAGCTTCTTGTTCTGAAGACAGGTAGTCCCGCCTACTTCCGGGTTATTTAACTTTTTTTTTGGTTTTCTTTATTGTACAAATGTTCGTTTACAAAGTAACATTATTAACAACAAAAGCAGGAAAACATGATCGTGAAAAACAAAATAGTTTAATCAAATTTAAGATCTTTATTGAGCCTACATGTTAGACTACAAGAGTAGATTTAAATACTTGAAATAACTAAGTTACTAAAAAGTCGAAAAAGCTTTTAATGTTAACATTTGATATGACGTTATTTTATTGTTTCACTTCATAAATTCACTGCGTTTAAGAAAGTTGGATTTCCTGACCACTTTTTTTAAGGATGCATGTTTTTAAAAGGTAACTCTAATCAATATAAAAAATAATAGACCTATTCGGTCCTTTCTTGACATTATATAGTATTACCTAAATGTATTCATTTCCTTTTTTATTGTAAGTTTTTTTTTTTTAAAGCTGCCTTCATCAATTCACCTGTCCACTGTCCAATTACAAACTTGTCAAAAGCAATGGTAACATTCTGGCCAACATAAAGCCATTGGTTTAAAAGAGAGCATGCTGGGAGACTTTAATCATAAACATAATTTTACAAAGTAAAAACCACAGAATTATTCAAGTAATTCAGTTTTGGGTTCTTTAGTAAAGACAGTAAATTCCTTAATTCAAAGTTAACGGGGGTATTGACCTTGTGCCCTACTTGCAGTGCCCAAATATATTGTTGTAACCTCACAGAGGAAAGTTTATACGGTTGACTAAACACTGCTGCACACATGACATGACACTTTTGGAATCACTGGGATAGAACAACTTGCTCATCGTATGAGGAGGAAAGTCAGGATGATTATAAAGGCCCTAAATATTAAAGATAGATTAGTTTATATTATTAGTTTACATTTGTTATAATTCCAGTATTAAAGTATGATTCATAAATGAATCAACATAATACAATCTCTTCTGTGAATACTGTATGTTTTATAAATATTACCTTGCAGAAAAGACAGTCAACTTTAGGGCATCTTTCCCTGACATTTTGCATCTTTAAGCTAGTTTACAGATTCATTACAATCTGTAGTCGTCCTGACATCAAGGGTTTCGATATGAAAGCATATCTTTTCACAGGGCCCACAACAGCCTACCCGGAGGCATCCCTGCTCATAACTACTGTTATCTTAGCCCTTTTCAGACTGCAATGGCAAAACATTCATATTGAAGGCGAAACGTGAATTTGTGCTTTACTGTAGGTTACTTCCTGTCTCCGTATCATTTTTTTGTGTGTCTTAATTGAGTGTCTATTAGCCTATCTGTCACGACCCTCATAAAACAACCAGACTTTTCTTTGATAAACATGTTGTTGTAACGAACCTAGCCTAAAGGCGAGTTGGCAAGCCTACTTGGAATGTCAGGTTAGGCCTATTTAACAGTAAAGCCAGTCGGATGTTGTGAAGAAGTGATGGCGACATGATACAGTGCCGCTTTCCTTTGCCTAAAATTTAGAGAGAACAGTTTTTAAAATGCCTCCTTTCCAAAACATCACATGGTTTTGTAAATGATAAGTTGACTAAAATCACATAGACGTCAACATAACAAAACAAGTCATGATTTCAATTAGCCTTATAAAATTGAAACATCAATCAAACTTTTTCCCTCTCAAGTTGTCTATTCGCTGCAAAATAAAATCTGAATGTTGGTCCTATAAACACCAACAAAAGGTCATTTTGTTTTGCCCGTTCAAACCGGTTCAAACCCATTAAGCATTGTTATGTCATGTTAGAAATCATCATTCACCCCACACATATGCTGGAATGATGATTGATGATGATGACCACTGCTTGGCCTTGTGCAGTCTTTAGAAGAGTGGAATTGTTGCCAGTTAAAAAAAAAAAAGGCTAGCTCAGTTTTAGGCAAGTGTAAGGACTCACTGAGGACTGAGGTGGAGAGACGCATGCGAAAGAAAGGACAGAATATATTGGATAATGTTATTCATCCTCTTCATGACATTATTGCAGGTCAGAGAAGTAGCTGCAGTGGACGACAAATTTCCCTGCGCTGTAGGACTGAGAGGTTCAGGAGATCCTTTGTCCCCACAAGCATCAGGCTTTTTAACACACAGGCCAATGGTAGCAGCTCATGACTGGAGCTGCAGGTGGAATGTTACTGCCTGCCTTTTTCTTGTTTCTCTCCCTAACGTCTGTATTTGTGCCATAATAAGAAACACTTTTAGTATTTTAACAATCTGTTAATATCTATGCAGTTAAATTAACATTGTTGTTTTGTTTTATAACTATTTTTCTAACTGGTGAGCTATGGGACCCTCCTGAATTTCCCCCATGCGATGAAGATTCAGGATTCAAGATTCAAGATTTTTATTTGTCACATGCTCCTACAGATGTGCAGTGAAATGTAAAGACTGTTCTGCAAGGCCATGCAATAACATTCAAATTACTAATACACATATATACAGTAAAATAGAATATAATGTAAAATTTAAAAAAGAATTATTTGACTATACAAAATATAGAATATGGAATAATGTAAACAGTGTAAAGTGTCAGTGTGTAAAGTGTCCAGGGTGTCAAAGTGCAATGTGCAGATTGGAATGTGTGGTGTGTGTGTGCATCATGTAATCACAGTTCTGTTTTGTTTTTAACTGAGGAGAGTGAAGTTAACAGTCCGGACAGCCTGGGGAAAGAAGCTCTTCCTGAGTCTGTGTTTGCCTTGATGTATCGAAGGTGCCTGCCAGAGGGTAGCCACGTAAACAGTCCGTTACCTGAGTGGTGGGGATCACTCATGATCCTGTTTGCCCTGGCTGTGCTCCTCCTTGTGAAGATGTCCTGGAGGGTGGGGAGTGTTGTACCCATGGTACGCTCTGCTGACTTCAGCACCCTCTGCAGGGCTCTTCGGTCACGCACAGTGTTGTTCCCGTACCACTGGGTGATGTTTCCAGGCAGCACACTCTCCACCGCTCCGGAATAAAATGTCTTCAGGACCTTCATAGAGACTTCGAATTTCCTCACCTGACTGTCTATGTGGGTTGTCCATGTTAAATCCTCAGAGATGTGCACCCCCAGGTACTTGAAGCTGCACACCCTGTCCACCAACGTCCATGAATAAAGTATGTATATATCTCTATCTATCTAGTAGCCTATTTAAGACTATAATTTGCACATAATCTAAATTTAAAGCATCGACTCTGATATGAAACGTCTTTGTTATTTAAATTTGATTTTGTTCTCTCAAAAACTTGTGTTCTCAAGTCACTGTTCTTGTTAATCATTTATATTGTGTAAATAGGCTAAATAGCCAACGTGTGATGTGTAAGAATCAATAGGGCAATGAGTAACCTGTAAGCCTTTAAAAAAAATCTTTGTACGCCTGCCTTACATCCCCATATTTGAGTGCCTCTACTTTGTTTTCCAGGAGTGAATTCTTCAACAGTAGCCCAGGAAGGTCTATTAGGCGTAGGCCATAACATTTCCCGGGTCTATCATAACGGCCCGCCTGTAGGCTACCTCTGCAGCATACCAAGCACAGTCGTACTTCACCGCTGCTTGAAAGGAGCATGGGACCCTCTGGACACATCTCCTCGGTACTGCTGGTTGCCTTTCTGCTGGGGCTTCATCACTCCTCAGGTTTCTGGATCCTGAATGTTGTATTCCCTCCAAACGCTAAGCCAGAGATACAAACTAACAGCACTCCACCACTCATTATTGGTAAGTGTAGACATTGTGGTTCTGTCAGGTTTTAATGTAGATCTGTGAAAGAGTTTTTGTGCAATCTAATTTACAGGTCAAACAGATGCTTGTTCATCAACATAGAAAAGCAAGTCAAAGAGGAATGAGCATTTATTGTGTCCTCTGGTTTGTTTTCTTTAATGGATTACAATATTTGGAAATAGGCCTAGTATCATTTTATTAAAGTAGACTAATAGGGGAAAGGAAATTAAACTGGATGGCTATATCATTTTGACACAGGGCCCAATATTAAGAGAAAAGCAAGACCCACCATTGTAGCTTTTTCCCTTTTGTTTGATATTGCACTTCAATGGCACACAAAGCATTGCACTGATAGGCTACTCTATTAAAGACTGTATTATAAGGGAATTAGAGAAAAACAAACAAAATCTTGGAAGGATTTATTGATAAGTGACGTTTGAGTAAACATTCCTCAGACTTGAAAGTGTATTTTGTTAGTCACCATCTTAAATATACATAGACAAGCATGTGACTCAATACAGCGGAAAGTCATCATTTTCCAATCAGGTACTAAAAAAATACATTATTCAAGTAGCATGCTATCATAATATCATGAAGCTGATTCAATATAGAAATATCCTCTGTAGAACTGATATCCATAATATGCGCAGTTTAAGTGCCTATACAGAGAACAATGAATATTAATAATTATAATAGCCTACATATAAAGGCTATACATAACACAATTGTGAGAAGTACCAGTAAAAAAACATACCACGATATTTAGGAATATTATTGGCAAAAGATATACAATTATTTACATGAAAGGTTGATTATAGCCCAACAACTTATTTTTGTGTATCTATGTGACTAACTGTTTGTATTGATGTCCAGGCTATGATTAAGGTTGTACATTGAACTCTGTACATTTGACCCTGTATTTCCCTGTTTGTGTCCTGTTTATCTAGGCCATGCAGGGCAATTTCAGGCACAAAAAGCCAAATATGCAAAACCAATTTTGGGTCAAAAGACGTATATTCCTCTTCCCTTTTCCCCTCCTGCCCGTCAACCCATGAGTCTTTTTTTTGTTTTTTTACAACAATACTTTTTCCTCATGTGATCGCTATTAGGAGCCAAAACAGGGCGTATAGTCTGAGTATACAGTAAACTAAGCATAGTTTTCTACTTTTTTTCAATTTTTTAACATTTGAGTTAAATTAACATATTTATTGTTCTGAATAATATAATATTATAGAATAGAACAGGATAGAATACTATAGAATAGAATAGAAAGTTTATTCATAAAGCACATTTCATTACAGGAACGCTCGATGTGCTTCAAATTGAGGATAGAAGCACAGGAATACAAGTAACTACAGCAGTTATATCAACAATCATGGAAAAGTTACAGAAATCATATAAAAAAAACACATTAAATGACATCAGAGACATCAAAAATCAATGAAACACTAATAGCATTAAATTCAAATAAAATCAATCAATCTTTATTTGTACAGAGCCAATTCATAACAAATGTTATCTCGTTACACACTGCAAAAAAAACAGGTAAAAGACTTAACTCTTTGTTATTTAATATTACAAAAGGATATTAAAAGGGGTGGGGGTTGGAGAAGTGGGTGGGGGTCCATAGCAGCATGCCATCCAGACTAACCATCCTGAGGAACCTACAAGCCATAAGAGCTCAGGAGCTCCCTGGAAAATATGTGGTTAGTAGGGATGAAAAGATTAATCGTAAAATCTTGATAAATCGATTCAAAGGTGTCAAGATTCACATCAGTACTCTGAAAAATGATTCACAATAATATCGTGAGCGCCAGCCGCTGTAGAGCAGAGGCGGCTGGCAGCTGCAGAGCAAGATATTGAAATTGAGGACGTACCACCGCCTTGACTGACTATAACACACACAAAAAGAAAACTATATAAGGCAATATATAACGAATGGCACCCACTAGTTATTATCATGTGCTTCTCTGGACACAAATGTATCTGTGACAGCCAGTTTAGTTGATATTCATGAAGTCAGATAGTGGTCTAGTATAGAGAGGGCCGGGTTCCTTCACGGGCCGACCTGCACCACGGGCGCCAGTGTAACTGCACTGGCTACACTGTTTGTATTTACGCCATTGTGCTCACTATATTTACAGGATATTGGTTACATTACGGGCACTCACTTCGCAAGGTGCGTGCCCATGCTGTTCGCGCCTTTCCCAGGTTAAGAGGCAGCGGCAGGCAGACGCCTTTGCTGCTGCAGAGGAGGGTTTGTGGCAGGTTCAGGAATATTCTGTCAGGCAGGTACTGGGCACGCTGGAGTCTGACAGTGCCCTCCACCACGCAGGTCTCCCATGATGAAATGGCAGATCTGTTCTCCTGCTCCAGCCAGGACCCTGTTTGGCTATGGTTCACTGCCCCCATCCCTTACCAAGAAAGGACGGCTGCAGACCTCAAGACCTTGAAGGCTCCGGTGTTCACCTCTGCTTCCATCACAAGGATGGAGGCTCTCACACACCCTGCTCCTGAATGCTCGTCTTGCAGACCGGTCTGAACAGTGTGCAGCCAACAACCTGTCCCTGCTTGCCCACTCCCTGTCAAAAGTGGTTGTTGAAAAAAAATTATTCCAGTACTTGAATTTGTAAACAATAAAGGCTCCTGGGTCTGGTGGCCCCTTCCGCACATATGTGCTCACCTTAAACAGACTGGGTCCTGCAAGTGGCAAGTCCCGTCCTGAGGCTCTTGGGGCTGCTGTTTTTCCCCCATCATATCATCAAATCAACAGTAGTGGACCTTTGACCCCAAAACCCCAGCTCCACTCCATTACTCCACAACTTAAACATTACAAAGACTCATTACCTTTCACACCAAAATATTTATACACACATCAACATATTAAACACATACCATACACCCTTCTCAGACCCAGTCTGTTCTGGGGCTTCATCCAGCGGAGAGACAGCAGCAATGGCAGACAGCAGAGGGGTGTTGTATTAAAGGCTGTGCTCCAGGTGGTGGCACTTACTGTCACATCTGTCCAGTTTGGGCTTCACAATAATTTACATCCTGCTTACTCTGGAAATTAGTAGTATGGTAGCTGGTCAGTGAAAAAAAACATAAAATGGTTGCAAAATAACCGGGAGATTTCCTCTACAATTTTTGATTGCTGCCAAAAGGGCACTTAAGGTCAGTCCAATAGCCTTGCAGTCTTATTGGAGTAAATAGAAATATACTAAGTTATTATGAATATCACTTATTGGAAGTTACATTTAGGTTGCAGCAACTAAATATTATAATTTTAACTAAAAACACAATGTAATGTCATGTTGTAACACTTTCAATCAATTTAATCCTCAGGTAACTATCACCCAACTATCCCAACCCCCCACCCCCAGCTTTACAAAAGTTTGTGGCATATTATACCATATAAGGACCTAAATGAACCCCTTGAGCTAGCATGCGTCTAGCCAATGAATTATTTTTTCCCAAAACACTTAAATGCTTGTCAGAGGCCTGAGGGGGACAACTGTCCAGTGATGACAGCCAAAAAAAAAGTTGTAAAATAAAATAATATTTCATCAAATGTCTTATGACTCCTCAGATTTATATATTGACCTGTAAGATACTTTACAACTCCCAAGTTGGCAATAATTCACCTACAGTTGACTCAGCCTTTCAGTACCTACCTTGCACTAATGTATATGTTTTTATCTCTAGTGCCAGGAAACTTGGGGAACCGCCTGGAAGCTAAGATAGACAAGCCAACATTGGTCCACTGGATGTGCTACAAGAAAACGGATAACTGGTTCCCCCTGTGGATCGACCTCAACATGTTCATGCCTATAGGTGTAGACTGCTGGATTGATAATATTAGGTATCATTTATTGCCTTACGTTGTCTTTATTACATCTGTTTTGCCTTCTATCCTTAAAAGACCTTATAATAACATTTATACTTTATCACCTTTTTCTTATTGTAGTGGTATTCTCAGGCCATACTTTTAATGTACTATCCTGACATCTTTTCATTTTGATGGTCACTTTCATACCTCAGTATTGTTTTATGTGTGCATCGAGGGGTGTTGGATTTTATTCTTATTCTGTTAGATTTATGTTGGATAAAATTTCTTGTCAAAGTAGTCATATCAGACAGAACAGCTATAATGGGGTAATAGAAATATTTTTGTTCTTTTGCAAATATTTGATGAATCACACGAACAGATTGTTGAAAAGTTTGCCCAACTAGATTGACATTTATGCATGTGGGCTCCAGACTTGTATACAACAGGACGACTAGGAGGTCATCAAACTCACCAGGGGTGCAGGTTCGGGTGCCAGGATTTGGGCAGACATATCCCATCGAGTTTCTTGACTCCAACAAACTGGCTGGTAAGAAAGAAACACGTCTGTGTTTGTCAATTTTGGGCTTGTTTTCTATTTACCAATTCAGAATCAGAATCAGATGTATTGGCCAGGTATGCGTGCACACACAAGGAATTTAACTTGACCCAGTGAACTGTGCTCCCCTATGTACAGGTACAACATTAAATATCAACAATAAACACAAGATAAGATAATCCTTTATTTATCCCACAACGGGGAAATTTGATAATAAGAAAATACTAATATTTACATGACTAAATATGAAACAGTGCAGTGGTGAATAGTGCAAAAGATGCTGAAGTAACATGATAATAAGAAAAATGCAGTTATGTGACAGATGGGTCCATTAAGATGTCAATTACAGTATTTACATAAATAAGTGTGCGTATATTGATCATTTAAATTAAATTATATATATATATACATATATGTACATTCACAGTGAATGTTGGTTTAGAGTCGTTTCACCGCGACAGGTCTGACACATTCTGACAATTCTATATTAAATTAAACAAAAGGTTTAAAGAAGAAATAATCCTTAAGAATATGCCATATTTACTGTATCAGCAATTATTTTAATGTATTTTGACACAGGAGCTTGGTACAAAGTTGTGTTTAAAATTTGCACTGAAGTCTGCTTTTTTTTTTTTTTTAGGTTATTTTCACACTATGATGCAACATTTGGTGCAGGTGGGCTACATCCAAAATGAAACAGTCCGAGGAGCACCGTATGATTGGAGGTTAGCTCCAAGTAAGTCACAAAGCTACACTTGCACCAGCACAAACATATTCACATTGTACCTGCTGGTCTGTTTTAAGAGCTTTATTAGATCGGTTTCTATACCACCAAAGTAGATACAGGTTCTCAATGTATTTTTTAATACAGAGTACAGATTTGATGCTAGTTTGACAAAAGTTAAACAGTACTTAAAACACAAATAATATTTAGACTAATTCCAATAATACTTATAATAACAATATTAATACTAATACTTTTACAATGACTTATTTTACTAGTAGCACTTGCACACTGTTGTTGAACCAGGGTATTTTGGTGTAGAATACTTTGAGCAGCTTTTTTAGTGGTCACATTGTCAATGCAGAAGTTAAAGGGTAACTAAACCCCATCTTTTCAGCTGTAGTGCTCTACCCTGGAAAAAAAATGCATTTAGAAGGTCAATTTTTTAAACTTGGAGAGGGAGGGGGGCGCGGGGGTAAACTCGCCCACTCACTCCTCCGCACCGTTATCAGCCGCAACGTGATACAATGTTTGCCCCACACACACAAATACACACATACACTTGAGTCCCCACAGTTCGCCGAGTCGGGTGACGAGGCTTTTATAGGTTTGGTGACGTAGTAATTCACTCCTACGTAATACTGTACTCCACACAGCCGTTAGAGTTTTTCAGACTGAAGGGCAGACACTCTGCACATTTCTAACACAATATTTAGAATTCAATACTTTGTACTCAAATGTCGAGATTTGGACTTGAATTGATCCATAACACTACTTAATACTCAAATACAGAGGTTTATAGTTGAAAAAAGTGGTTTTAGGGTTTAGTTCCTCTTTAATGTATGACAGTACTGATGAGATTGTACACACACACACACCTCCCCCTCTTGCCCAGGCTTAAGGCTTAAGGTGCTGCTATTTTGTCCTGTCACGCGGTTTTGGTGACAGATCAGTGTTAAGTCATCCTCTGATGAGACGTTTACTCAGAGGCATGAGGAGAAACAGCCTGTTGTCAGGTCCCTCAATGGGAATTAGCACTGATTACAGCTCTGTTTCAACATCTGGATCAAGTTAGCATCAAATTTATGTCACTCAAAACTGCCTTGCTTTTGGCTATGACATCTGCTAAGAGAGTGTTTGATTTATCTGCTCCCTCTGCGGCTCCTTCCTGCGCTTCAAGCTCCAAGGAGATGGCAGTGCCATTATTTTACACCTTCACCAGGATGTTTTGCTTAAAAATCTCACCTGGTCTTTCAGATCAAGGGTGATGACTCTTACTGGATTATTTCATCCTCCTCTTGGCTCTGAGGAGGAGGCTGCTTCCCATTTTCTCTAACCTGTGCACGCACTTTGTTTCTTTTTAACTTGGGTAGGGATCCGGAGGGTCGCCGGCTAAAGTCCCAATGTGGACCATAATATTGAAGTTGGTCTGGTAGCTGGAGAGGTGCCAGGGCACTTCACAAGTGCTGCTTGATGTGTCCTTGAGCAAGGCACTGAACCCTCAACCGCTCTGGTGCGCTCCCTTGGTAGCAGTTCATTCTCTCCATTAATGCATATCCACAGACCCTGTTTATGCATGTGTATGATAAATAATAACAAAAAATTCTAATGAAATACACCAAAAATTTGAAACATTTACTACACATGATAAAACCTATAGACAAAACGAGCACAATATGGCATGCAGCACATTCATAGTTGAATCTCAATTGTCTTGCTTTCAGGATCGTGGGAAGCCAAAATTGTAATAGAAATTGAAACTTGATTTATTGTCCTGCTCTAGTGCCTATACTATAGAATCTGTTTGTAACTAACAGTGCACATGCTACAGTATTTTGGACCAGCTGAGGAGTCTTTAGAAACATAATAGTGCAGCCTTATTATAGGGAATTGTAGTAAATATAAGTCTATTTTTAATTGCACAGTTTAAGTTTGTTTCATCTCGGGGTGTTCTTTAAAAAAAAAATTGGGTTAATATATATGTATGGGAGGGGGGCGTCGGTTTTGCGGTTTAATTTGTAACATATGTTTCATGTCATGTACGTCTTTGTAACCTGCTACTGGATGCTTTGAATTTCCCTCAGGATCAATAAAGTATCTATCTACCTATCTATCTATCTAGATTATTAATATTTATGATAACAGTCTTACATGAAACACAGAAAAACACAAGAATTTAAGAGGAGCTTGAGTTGAAAAGTGGGTGATATTTGTTTGTGGGATGATCACTAAAAGTGAACCTTTCACATTACAAAAATACATAAAGACATTGATTTGTGCCTAAAGAAAATAAAAAGACAACAAATAATTGAAAAGTGGTCTGTTGTTGTGACAAAGCCAGTAAGAATTATTTTGATGGAGACCAAACCTGAGCTAAAATTATATACTCACATGCTGTTTGCCAGAAACTCAAGTCTACAAATCGTATGTTGCACATAATGCACATGTTCACAACTCTGTAAGGTAGTATATCAGGACTGGGTGATTATTTCCTTCTTATTGGATCTTTGCTTACTTGCTTGGTTTCATATGTGTTCCAAGAAAATAAATACAGCTTTAAAGAACACCACAACATGCCAACGTCTGTGAAATTTTGTGTACTGTTTATGATTATTATGAGAAAGATAAAGATTGTACACCATGAACACTTCTGCATTATCAAAGTTTAAGCCATCAGCCTACAAAACCTCTGTTATCCCTTCCCTGACAGATGAGAATGCAGATTATTTTACAAAGCTGCAGGAGCTGGTTGAAGATATGTTCAACCAACATGGGAAGCGTGTTTACCTGCTTGCACACAGCATGGGCTGCCACTATGTCCTTTACTTCCTCAACCACCAGCCCTCAACCTGGAAAGACAAATACATCAGGGGCTTCATTTCTCTTGGGGCTCCTTGGGGGGGTGCTGTTAAGACACTAAGAGTCCTGGCATCAGGTAATGAAAATGACTAAGAATAGAATACTAAACGTCTTGCTTCTTGAATTTGCACCTGTAACATGTATTTTTTTGTTGTTATTACAGGTGAAAATGATGGCATTCCAATGATTTCCAACATCAAGATCCGGGAGGAGCAGAGGATGACAACAACTAATCCCTGGATGCTGCCATCTCAAGAATTCTGGCCAAAAGACCATGTGTTTATTTCCACTCCAACCTTTAACTACACCAACCAGGACTACAAGCGCCTCTTCACAGACATCAATTATGAGGATGGCTGGTACCTATCAGATAAAGCGTTATAACACAGCTTTGATCAACAAGAGTCATTACCCTTTTCAAATTTAGATGTCAAATATTTGTGAATCATATATCTGACTCTGAACACGTTGGTACTTTAATAATAATAATACATTGGTTTTATATGGCGCTTTTCTGAAAACTCAAAGACGCTTTGACAAAAACCAAATGAAATAGAATAGAGAGCAGCAAGTTTAGTTTAAATGAATAGAGAGCAGCACGTTTATTAAGATTTAAGACTTACTTTTATTGAGCCCCGCAAGGGGAAATTTCAGTTTTTAGACTCTGTACCCTCCGGTTCCCAACCCAAGTCCCTACAGACTGAGCTACTGCCGCCCTATGACTGCATTTATGACAGCAGTAACAGTCTAAAATCTGTTCATGGGGGACATGAGTGCCTGGTCAATAATATAAATGATGCTTAAGTGTGAAGTTTCATTCACCAAAAAACGGAAATGATCATATCATTGTGGGGCGGCAGTAGCTCAGTCTGTAGGGACTTGGGTTGGGAATCGGAGGGTCACCCTGGCATCAGGGCCTAGTGGTGGAAAAGCATAGCGAGCAGATAAGACTAAATTAGATGTTATCAGTTACAAATACACACATTTTTACAGTTAAGTGAAACAGAGCAAGGTGCACTGTTGATTATAGATTGGAATAAAAAATATTTCTCTAGATCTACTGCATCGATTTTGATAGTTTTTTCTTCTTCTAAAACTGTTTTGAGACCATCTTAAAAGAAATACTTTATGTAAAGAGTACTATTAATTTCAAGAAGGATGAGGAGAGCTGCTGAGTCATTTAACAGTTTTCTGAGAGTTAACTTCTGCCAAACCCCTTCAACAAGCAGCAACATGATCAATCATATAATTAAGAATACTGCCTAGAAAAAGCTTTAAAGTTTGTTTCTCAACTCTCCTTATTTTCTTCTTGGTAATATAGGTACATGTGGGAGGACACCAAGAATCTTACCAGTGATCTACTCGCACCAGGTGTCGAGGTGTGGTGTATGTATGGCGTAGGAATTCCAACTCCGATAACATACATATACAATGAGGATTTTCCCAATGAGGACCCGGTGGACTTCGTTTATGCCGATGGAGATGATACTGTGGACAGCTTTAGTATGGGTCTTTGCAAACGATGGGCGGGGCAGCAGGAGAAGCCCGTCCATGTTACAGAGTACCGAGGGCTGGCCCACTTGGATATTGTGTTTGACGAAAAGGTTCTCAACCAAATCCAGAACATCTTGGAGGGCAAAGCCGATGTGCCAAAAAGTATTGATGTCAGATCTGGAGACAACTAGTACTAGATAATACCTTATGAACCTCTAAAGTCTATTGATAAGCAGCTTTTACATAGTTATATAGTTATATACATAGAACTATAACCAATTTTAGTTCCTCGAACCCAGTTTAGAGGAACCTTTTTAGCTCCTGCTTCAGAGTAGGTACCATGGCAGTGTGAATGCAGACAGAAAAAAAGTTCCCATGGTGTGTAGTTCTCCGGGAACTCCCAGTGGATAGTTCCTCATCAAAAAATCCTCAGAACAGTTTGGTCTAAAAACAGTATTAGATTATGTTCTATTGGTAGTTGGCTTGTTACTATTGTGAATAAAGTCTATTTTATTGAGAATGATATAAATGTAGTGTTTTCATTAGACTGTAATTATTGTTAAATATCTGTAGGGAATAAAACTTTTTGAAAATGTTAAAAGATTTATTTTTTTCTCATTCTCACATACCTTTGCCTCTGACTGAACATGAACAAATTACATGAATTTAGATATTCACATTTATATATAAAGATATATGCATTTGATCTTTTGAGTGATTTAAAGAATCTTGTACAAAAAAATCACTTGTTTCTGTACTTTCCAGAAATGTTAATAGCACCAAAGCAGAAAAACTGGGCAGGTATGCTCTTGGGAAGAAGGAAATACTAGAATATTATGCTCACACAGAATAATCCTTGAGTGAAATTCATCTTCCAAGAGATGCGTTTATGTGTAGTGATGTTAATTGTTGTAATGTTTGGCATAGGAGGGAGCTTTGTATAATGGGATAGTATGATCTTTGTATGATGAAAGTAAGCCTTACTACAGGAATAAACATAACACACATAACATAAGGCCTGCATGGAATGAGTATGTAGCTGAGTGGCATGCTAAAGCCCAGTTAGCACTTAAATCATGGGCAGAATAAGGTAGACCCAGACAAAGGGTCAGTGCTTCAAAGCTGACGAATGCAAGATATAAATTGGCCATCCGCTTTATTTGTAAAAAGTAGCAGGCTATGAGTGACGATTATATGGCCAAGAAACTGTTAAATAACAATGTTTTTGATTTTTGGAAGGATAGTTTTAAACAGCTGTAAAGCATGCACAATATTGCTGACTCAGTAAAAGTGAAGCATATAAAGCAGGTAATGTGGAGACTAAGTCATGCTTCAATTGGAATTATTTCACATGAATTGTTTCAACCTATAAAGAAGCTGTCAATAATGGCTTAGACCATGTGCTGAACACCTTAAATATGCTATAAAATTAAATATTGAGACTGATCTAACTCCATACTAATCCTCTTCTGTACATTTGATATGAAAACAAATATTTATATTTATATTTAAACAAAATCAATTCTTTAAATTATGTCATAAATGTAAAAGGAAAATTAAGAATTGTTTTTGGAGAAATACAGTATTAACATGTCCCGTTGTCAGGGAATTCTTTATCAGATATTGGCTAATCTGGGAATAAATTCCAGAATAAGAAATGTGTTCACAAATGTTTTCATTATTGGTCTTATAACTGTCTTCTCCAGACTCAGACCTGGTTCTTCAAGTGGGGGCACGGACCCCCCGGGGGTTGTGAGACACTGAGAAGGGGGTCAAGTGATGCATTCTATAACCATATTTTATTATTATTATTATTATTATTATTATTTAAAATGGTATACAGTGGTTGAATTTAAAATACAACTAAATATGTTAAATTTTCAGTTTATGTTGAAATGATAATGATATGTAAAAAATCCTTTAAATTTAAGTTTGCATTTAACTGCAACAATGTAGGTATCTGCTCCAGTTTATGTATGGTGATTACTTGTGTTCTGCTTCTAGCTTTTCTTACAATAAATTACTAAGTGTGATAGAAAATATCAGTTTTAACAATTTCCCGAAAAATAAATCATAATTAATGTAATTCTTATTTTAGCTAACTAATACTTGGCTCAACAAATCACCCTCCTTTTATAGTTTTAAAATCACAAATTTGAAAATATATGTATCCCCTATTGAAAAGCTAAACTTTACAAATCAGAATTTGACAAAAACTATCACTTTATTTATACATTTTTATGTTTATCCTCCCAATTAGCAGACCCCTCCTGGTTTTTTGTTTTTTTTCCTTTATTTAGTTGTGTTATTTCCAATGTTTAAACGTGTACTGTACTTATGCAGTAGGCCTAAATGTGTTTATGAAATATTGAACACGTCTGTAGCGGCATTTGAATGTATAAGCTGTGCATGTTTTTTTAATTGAATATCGATCAAACAAAGTTTACAACAAAAACAACAACAAGTCAATGACAAGCTGAGCTTTCCTCTGTTCGACTACATCTGACATCGATACCTTTTGACTTGATGGCTGAAGTGGCGTTACCTGGTGGATTGCTCTGTTATCTGTATCTCGTGACCACCACCTCCCTGTTTACTTATCATCGCTCTCTGTTACACAAAGGGAAAGATTACTCCCCATCGAAAGTCTCCTTGCAGATCTACGCCTACAGTCCATAATCTCCTCACGCCGGAGAGGCGTCCCGGTCGCTTGGCTATGAGACTCCAGGAACCATGAGGGCTTGGCACTGGATCACAGCCTGCTCTTCGCTGCTCCATATCTGGTTGTTATTGTCGCTGTTTGTGGATCGCAGTAACGAGACACCTTTGGAGAAATGTCGCGGAAAGAAGTCCTGTCAGCCCCCAAGACCTCCTGTGGTTCTCAGTAAGTTGTGATCGTTCCTGTTCACTTTTAATTTCTACTTTCTAATAACTACCCGACAAGTCAGTCAACAGCTTGCTCCTCACGAACTCCCTATTTACAAACTCAATTCGGATTGAACCCAATTTGATATATTTTTGATTCTCGCAATTTTTTTATAAAGAGCCCAAAGCATTAATCAACGCTTCTTCATATACAAAATGTCTCTAAGTCTTTCGATCAGCTGATACGTAAACATCCATTTTTTCTAGACGTCAGTGAACTAGGCCTATCGACCTGAAGTGTCTTTGGCAAGTCACTATTTTACTTCCACTGTAACCAGACATAGGCTTCCTGGTTTGTCATCTTAGTTTACACACACACACACACGCAGACACACACACACACACACACACACACACACACTGTGAGGCCCCGGCAGGCTGACCCGTCACCCTGATAAAGATGAATATTGGTGAATATCAGATGACTGTGCATCTGTCGAGAATCGCTTAGGCCGACATGCTTTAAGAACTAAGAAGATTTTTCCTGACTATGCTATAATTTGTTTCTGTGTTTGATGATCATATGACTTTTGGGTTTGTGTTTGTCTGCAGTCGGAAGTTCTTACATCACATGACTGAGTTGGAACCGGTCTGGTTTGACTGCAGCTCTTTCACCATACTGAGACGACGAAACTAGTTAAACTATCCGTTTATGAACAGTATACTATACCATGGTTGTTGGTTAGACTACATATGTTGTTGTACTGCAATGCTACCCCCCCCCCCCCTTAAACACAACAAAAACAAACACACAATATTGTAGCTGTGGATAGTCCACATCATGTATTCATGTCCAGTTTTGCAGTTTAGAATCATCATCTGATTCAGCTAAATGCCGAAATATGTGAATACATAAAAGTATATCTGGTTAATGTTCACATTGCTTCCTAGAGACAAAAATAATAGATTAGGCATTAGTTGTTCCAGTTTTCTCAAAATATGAGATTATACTATTTTAAAAATAAAGACTTCTTAGTTTTGTTTTTTGTGTGTTGTTATGAGTTTTTAGCAAAACTTTGTAATTTTGCAACACTGGGCCTTATTTGAAGCAGAATTTCTCTATATGCATTCACATTATCTGAAACAGAACAACTAGAGTTAATCTTCCAGACTGATACCTAATTCAGCTTCAGTTTACAGCAGATAATGGATAATAAACTCCTGTCATATACAGTATAAATAGCATTTTATTAATAGAAATATCCGAAATGTGTTACAGACAAAGACATCTTTTCATACCTTTCTAGACTTCAGACTTAAATTTCGCAACCGGAAAATTCTTCTTCGCTTTGATTTCTGTTTATGTTGGAGGGCATGTCAACATTTTCTTGCACACAGTGCCACCATAGACCCCAAATAAAGGACTGATAAAATCCCTTTTCATCCATTGACACCTATCGTTAGGCAAAGTGTGTTTGATTGGATTGGGCTAGATGTCCATTTAATCACTTTAGCGCAATCAGCATGTTGTTACTTTTCTTGCCCATGACATCATCGTCTTTCTCTGTGTCTTCATTATCTTCGTCAATGTCCTCTGATTCCATCTCAGAATCTTTCTCTCCATAATGGGTGGCAGCAATCACATCATGTACACTGAATAGAAAAGCTCTCTTTACAGGTGGCACTCTGAAATGGAAGAGGAAAATAGTTTTAATAATTAACATTTACGTTTAAGTACGTAATAGTATTTTGTTAGTAAGGAAAAAACCTGAAAATTATAGGTTTCTGCCTACCTACCTATAGGTAAAAGTAGTATAAAGTATGGACTCACCAATTTTATCAATGTAGTATGTATTTTAATCGTCCTGCTTTATTCCTGTATTTAATTTATTTTATATTTTTTGTTTGTCAGGTCTGTTTTTGTTTTTTTCTGTTTGTTTTTTTGTCTTGCATTGATAGTGTTTCCCTTGTTGGGTATTGTTCTATATCATTTATTGTCTGGTATTGTACTGTTGTAAAACATTTGAAAAGAATAACATTGTTGGTCATAATAAATGTAGTATGTAAGGCTATAGGTGAAAAAGGAACTTTGGGTTTTACAGGCTTAAATTCAGTTTTTGATTTACATACAACAGCCTTTTTCAATTATGAGAATTAGCTCTTTACATGAGTGTACCACAATGACAGTAATAAGTGCAAAACCTTGTGTGTCATTTTGGAAAATTATAGGGACGGTGACAGTGATGTAGCCAATATTTAAATAATTTCTTTTGGTTGTTCATTGCAGTACCAGGGGACCTGGGGAACCAGTTGGAGGCGAAGCTGGATAAACCAAGTGTGGTCCATTACATCTGCTACAAGAAGACAGACTCTTTTTTCACTCTATGGCTCAACCTGGAGTTGCTGGTTCCTGTAGCCATAGACTGTTGGATAGACAATATGAGGTATTAAGTTGCTCTTTGCATTTACATGAAGACATCCCTTCACCTACTTATTTAAAAAAAAAAAAAAGATCAATTTAATCTTGTTAAGTCATTGTCCTGTTTTGAGTAGTATCGTGTCAGCAGTCAGCCAGCAGTTTCTTTGGAAAAGGACTAACTTTTAGGTTTAAATATTTTGCCTTCTCTACTTTTCTGTAATTACTTCACTTTTGTAAAAACTATAATACAGTGCAAACTTTTACAATTATTGTACTTATTTCATTAAGTGCTGTCAACAGGGTAAGAGAGTAAATGGATAGGTTCAATGAACTGGCTGTCCTTCAGCGATTAGATATCAACCTGCACAAGATACACTGACCTTTGAACTATTTACCAAGCAGGTTATGGGAGGAAAATAGGATAAGATAGCATTCCTTGTATGTTTCCAATAGCAATCAACTTTTAAGGACTGTTGTGGCGATTGAGCCTGTGTTTTAGCTCTTTATTGTTAATGTTTGATCAGTAACACACTGAAATGCTAACCAGTACCTCAAAATAAGTGCTTTGTTGTGATAGTATTAGTTACATTTAATTGTAGCTTCTGCTTGGCATCTTTACTCACATCTTTATGCAATCTTTAAACAATGTCATGGGACAACACATTTAAAATGATAAGTGCCTTTTGCCTCATTGTAAGATGCACAGTGCTCAAAAAGTAAGGGAACAGCAGGCAGGGTATCATTGGCTTCATGGAGGTCTGTGCAACCCTGCAAGGATTTGCCTCCCCAGAACATCAGTGAACCACTGCCAAACCAGTCATGATGATACAAGCAGCATAACGTTAACCACAGTGTCTCGAGACCCTTAAACTTTCTCTCATCTGTAAAGAGAACGGGGCGCAGATGGCGAACTGTCCAATTCTGGTGTTCTTTGGTGAACACCAATCGAGCTGCACGGTGCTGGGCACACTTGAGACTGTGCTGGGAGACACAGTAAACAGTCTAGCTACTGCACTGTGTCTGTGCCATCCTGGAGGAGCTGGATTATCTGTGCAATTTGATTTGACTACAAGTACAGCTTCATGCTACAAGTAGTGATAAGGACACTTACAGAAAACAAATCTAGAAAAGAATCAGTTAAAAGGGATAAGGAGAAATTGTCTGTGGACACCACATTCCCTTTTTGGCAGCTGTATTGCTTTTGCCTCACCATTGCACCTGTTGTCACTTTTTATTTGCACTATAGGAGTTGGAATTAATTCACAACCACTTGTGCTTCCTAAATGGACGCATTGATATACCTGAAGTTGATCTGACTCGATGTTATAAATTGACAATTCTATGTTCCTTTCATTTTTTTGAGCTGTGTATGTAATTCAGTGTGTGTGTGTGTGTGTGTGTGTGTGTGTGTGTATGCAGGCTGATCTACAACGGGTCCACACACGCCAGTTCATCCCCACCAGGTGTAAACATTCGTGTCCCAGGGTTCGGAAAAACGTTTCCACTAGAGTATCTGGACCCCAGCAAACACAGTGTTGGTAAGTTGGAAGCCCAAAATCAAATATTACTTCAGATACCTAAAAATATCTTTAGTTTCCAGGTGTCTCCAGCCGCTAAATGTCTTCTGACAAAACTAGATAATCAACTGCTGAATCTTTCACTGAGGTACTGAAGTACGGTATATGATTTGTTTCTGTTTGTGGTTTGTTGGTTTTTGTCTCTCCTCTAGGTATGTATTTCTTTAGTATTGTACAGGCGATGGTAGATTGGGGCTATACCAGAGATGATGATGTCAGAGGAGCTCCCTATGATTGGAGGAAAGCCCCAAGTAAGCAACATTGAACACACACTCTCATACACAGGAAAGAGGAACATATGTGCTTTTTGTTTAAACCATCAGTTTTGAATCACAGTTATTCTGGTGATTTCACATGTGAGACTACTGGCAGGTGTCCTAATAGGGACTTCACAGGTATATGAAGAATGTTAGCTTTGGGGAACTGAAAGAGGACATATTATACCGCTTTAGTGACCCTGTATAAACCAGCTCTCTCAGAACACTCCGTTTTGGTGTGTGAGTGCGAGTCTTCCCAGTAGACATAACTTTTCTGTAGCGAGAATACCAATTGCAGAAGTGTGCAAAAGTTTTGTTCTAGGCTGGGGTGGGTACATTTTTCACATCATTTAAAACTGTGTTCTTGCTATCATAGATCTTTGGGCTTTTATTTTGCTCAGTTGGTAGAGTCGGTAGTCTCTCAAAGTTGCTCCTGCTTCGTCTGCAGTGTATGAATGTGTATTAATGGAATTAGTTACTTCTAAAGGTCACTTTACATAGCAACCTCTGCCATCAGTGTGTGAATGGTTAGTTGTGACCTGCAGTGTTAAAGCACTTGGAGTAGTCAGAAGGCTAGAAAAGTGCCATACAAGCTGAAGACCATTTACCTTTGCTAGCTCCACCATATCATCTTTCTTTATTACTCTTCTTCTTCTTCTTCTTCATATGTCTTGTGTCTGCTTCTCCGCCCTTGTTTGTTGGAGCCGTTAGCCGATAGTTACAAGCATTAACTCCACCTGGATTAATGTGAGGATACTGTCATGTGTGATTGCCTTTTTATTTCCTAACCAGACATACTCAGTCTTATATTAGTCCATGTTTTATCCTCTGAATCCACTCTTGCATTTCCCATTAAATTGGGGAGGGAGAGACAATTGTGTCAATACGAGGCTCTCTGTGGTGTATGTATGTGCCGGACCATGATGTCCAAACCGCTATAGTACAGGACAAATACAGACACTGTTACACCTGTATTAGACAGTTTAGTCAGAATAGTGAAAAATCTCACTCATCAAGCCAGATTTTTATACTGGTCCACACGCAATGCAGCTTTCTGTCTAAATATGGGACTTATCAGATATTAGGTGAAAAAGCATCTCCTAATCATTGAAATGTGGCGTACAGAGCCACCTGGACCAATGTGCTCTCTCATCTGTTCAGATTTCCTTTTCTTCACTTTCAGATGAGAATAAAGAGTTTTTCCTGGTGTTGCAGCAGATGATTGAAGAGATGGCAGAGAAAGCTGGCGGGCCTGTGGTGCTGATCGCTCACAGCATGGGCAACATGTACACATTATACTTCCTTAATCAGCAGCCACAGGCCTGGAAAGACCGATACATCAAAGCCTTTGTCTCTCTTGGACCACCATGGGCAGGGGTGGCCAAGACTCTGCGTGTGCTTACCTCAGGTAAGAGATGGGACCGGTATTGCTTAAACAGTTTTAGTTTGCTTATGACGTGGGTAAAACCCTTCCTTTAGAATTATATTAACCACTAAATACTATCTCCACTACTTCCAGAATAGGAAATGGGAAAGAAGAGAGCTTCAAATGCATTGCAACATTACAAAAAAAAAATTCTCAAACAAAAATATAATAACTTTTTATTAAGTATTCCCACATCCAGTCTCCACTTGTATTTCCTTTTCTTCAGTTCAGGTGTATCTTTAGGTAAATGACACTATGATCAGAAACATCTACCACTCCAATTTGAAATTCTTGTATGTATTCTCTTTCTGCATAAAAAAAAGTCATCAATCCTGGATTAGACAGAAAGTGATGTTGAGTAGGAACTGAAGTCTCTGCGCTGTGGATGCAGGTGTCTCCATTTGTTGAAAAAAAGAACTATTTTGTCCTACACATTTTTAAACATCTTTGTAATAGATTTCTTAATTCTCTTAAAACTGGTTGTATCCATGTCATAGTCCATCATTATTACATTGAGATCTCCTCAACATATGCATATACCCTCTGCTTCTAATGCTAGTATATCAAATAAGGATATGAAACATTCCTAATTACTCTCAGGTATATGTTCACCAATCATATTAATGTCTGTACAATTGTTCCTTGACCATATAGTGTAACGTCCCTCTTTATCTGTTATTTGTTTTTGGTATGAGAATTTGATTACATTGGACATTAAAGGCAGGGTTGGTAATTTTCTCCAGATACACTTTTTAAGATTTTGGTTGAAATAGTCTTTAGGTCCTGACGGAAATAATAATAATTCATGTTCTCTGAAAAAGCAACAAAGAATATCTGTGTCTGTAGCAGTTGTAAGTCTGTAAAAACTTTGACCAACGTCTGCCACGAGGTACCAATCTGATGAACCAATCACGCCTCCCTGTCTCCATGCTTGTTTTCTACCCCATGTGTGCAGTAGGCCACACTCAAAGCCAATGACGTAATTTATATACAAATCATTTGTTGTTGGCCTTTGTGAGTAGTAAAATAGTCAGGTTTTTTTAAACATGTACTATGATAAAGTTTAGAGTTTACTTACTGCTGAATGAGACATGAGACGACATAGTTTCTACACAATGCTGACGTGTAGATGGGCTGAGGTTCGCTTGTGCATGTAAGTGGTGGGCATTGCTTTTGAGGGAGCACAGAGGGGAGGTGATGGGACGAAGCACTGAAGGAATGCTCCTACAAAATCATGCTAGTTTTCTAAAATTACCAACCCTGCCTTAAACATTAATACTCGCAATAGAGTGTTTTTCATTTTAAATCTTTTCAATTTTTCATGTTCTGATTTTGATGAGTTTCTTTAAGGAAATTAATCTGCATGTTTTCATCTTTTTTTTTTGTACTTAATTTTAGCTCTTCTGATTGTGTATCCTACTCCATTAGCATTTATAGACATTAATTTGAAATATATTATGTTTTGTATTCATGAACCTTTATAGTTCTGTTATCCTTGTAGCAACTCCTCCACAGGCGGTTAGTAAGACACTCGCAAACAATAAGTAACATTTTAAACAACCGTTTGTAAGATTGTAACCTCCATACAGAGGGGTCAACTAGCGTCGTTTCATGTTGACTCTTATTGTTTTAAGGCCCTGACACACCAAGGATATCTAGCTGACGATGAGTGATCATCACCATAGCTTTTGCGGTGTGTCCAGCTCCGTTGCTACCCGTCAGCACCAGTATGCCTTTTTTCGGCTGTTGAACATGTTGAATCGGCGTCTCGTATCATAACAACCGACTACCGCTGCCTGCTGGCATGGAGAGTTATTTCCTCTTAAGCATGCGCTGAACGTACGTGGTGGTTGGCCGTCGGATGTAGTCTTTGCGGTGTGTTCAATTGCAACTTTTTGGCCAAGACAAAGGCGACAGTCGGCCTACGTCGTCACTACACTACTGGTACAGTGACATTCCTACAAACAATTGTGCTGCAACCTCTCCTGTTTTAAGTTTGCCTACTTTTGTGTTTTAAACTGGAAATTATTTGCTGAGTTTCTATTCTATGTCACTGGTTCTCCTTCTCTCTCTACAGGGGATAACAACCGCATCCCTGTGATCAGCCCGTTAAAGATTCGCTCGCAGCAACGCTCTGCTGTGTCCACCTCATGGCTGCTCCCCTATGCCCATTCTTGGCCAAAAGATCAGGTGTGTGTCCTTGTGTGTTCATGTTTGTTGAGTTTCTTGAGAATGTAAACTGTGGGTGATCTAAAACCCTGCTGTGCCTGACCAATCAGAGACATTCAGCACTGCAGGGGCTGCATGCCCTGTTGTCAGAAGTCCCTGGACCTTTAGAAAGTACATAACCCCTATCAGGGTCTTTTTATGGGTAGATCTTCTACCCCAGAACTACATTTATACCCTGGTAGATTTGGTCGAAACGCACTTAGTTCTTTAAAAAGACCATAGTTCTGGGGGAAAATTCTTCCGGTCGAAACAGGGCTATTGTTCCTTTAAGGTCCTAATAACATGTTTAGAAACTGAAGGATGGGGAATAACGTGTTAAAATGTAGTGTGAACATAACATAACTATATTAAACATTTGGTAAAGATTACCATGTACCATATAAAACGCAATAAAAAAAGTTTCCCTCCCCCAGGTCTTGGTTCAAACACCCACCACCAACTACACTGTGCTGGACTACAAACAATTCTTCTCAGACATTGGTTTTGAAGATGGCTGGTTAATGCGGCAGGACACGGAGTCGTTGGTGGCCGATCTTACACCTCCTGGGGTGGTTGTCCACTGCTTGTATGGCAGCGGCATTCCCACCTCTGAGGCCTTCAGTTACTCTGACAAATTCCCAGATGTGGAGCCCACAGTGGTGTTTGGTGATGGCGATGGGACAGTAAACATACTCAGTGCTATTCAGTGCAAACGTTGGATGGGAAAGCAAAAGCAGCCTGTTATGTTAGAAGAACTTCCAGGGAATGAACATGTGGACATGTTATTGAACGTCACAACAGTGGCTTACATCAAGAATGTGCTGTTCTCTCCATGATGTAGTGGGTCAGGTTAAGAGGGAGCTGGCGGCTTTATCCAAACATATCATTAGAAACATGCTCAACACACACACACACACACACACACACACACCGCCATATAATGGACAGACAGAGACTGTTACAGTTCTTTTGAACCGTCACTGCCAAGCTACTCGCTTGTTACATCTCTGAAGAGAAACAGTATTAGGAATTTTGTAGTACAATTGCAGAATTTAAGTTTTAAATTATTTTAAAGTTGTAAACGTACAGTGTACTTATATCAGGTTATGTTCTGTTAAGTGATCACATAAACCCTTTTCACTCATACGGAAATCTCCTGAAAAACTCTGGAGATTAGGCTACCCGGAGGTTCTTTAGGCTATGTGTGAACGCTAACAGCCGCATTTTTCGCTGAGTTTATCCGGCCAGACCCCTAGTATTTTATCCGCAGAATATCCGAGTGAGCTGATGTCTGAACGTGGCCGCATATAGTCCGGAGATTTTAATTTGAGCCAATGGGACCCAAATGACGTTTATATACAGTGACTGCCTAAAGTGTCTGCATGCGACCACTATGATCTCTGTGCATGTAGTCAAACGGCTGCATTCTGTTTTCTGTTCGTCAGTTTGTTGTTCTCCACTCTGGATGTTGTCATTTCATTGGATTACACATAGCATTGATATAAAGACAAATGTTCTCATTATAGCGTCGTGTAGTGCACACTGTTGCTTCGGCCGCTACTTCCGCGTTGTTTATATACGTCACGTTTTACCTCGGGAAATCCCACGACCCCCCTCCCCTCTGACAGGGAAAGTCCCCCGCTGTGAGGAGCATATGTGAACGGCTAGTTCGGGAGAATCTCCGGAGAAGTCCTCCTGTAATTATCTAGATATTATCCGGAGTGCATATGTGAAAACGTCAATACAAATGGATTTTTTTATATTCGTATCAGTGACGAAGTCCAAAGGACTAGCCTACTATACCTTCAGTATGTAATTGAGTGTTCAAGTTAAAAGCCACAGAAAGGATGTATGTCGTATCTTTTTAATAGTCTTGCGAAGATATTTTTTGAATTATTTTACTGTTATGATGTTAGTTAAAATTCTCAGTGCATCAGATCATGTTTTAGTGCTGTTTATATATTGAAATTACAAAACACGCCTGGGATATTTAAGTTGACAAAAATCATTACTCAAAATTTTAACTGCATCTCACCAACTTAAACTAAAAGGAGTTTGCTCCATTTATTTTTGTAGTTGAAAGTTCAAGAAAATGCTTGTAGCCAAATGAGATAGATAGGGTTTTCTATACAGAATGGATATGTATTTTACTCATCTATTTTATTCGTCAAAAAAAGCTCTAAACATAAGTGACCCTGTAAAAGGTTTCCTCCATACCTTTTCACCTACCCCAAGGTCCCTACAGCCAGCAGAGGGATCAGGCTAACTGAGGCACCTGTGCTATTCAGAGGCAGTATTGTTGTTTCCACAAACAGGTTAAATAAAACAGGCTTTCAATCATCATGTTTTATACGGACAATTTGTGTTATTAATCATCAGCTGTATTGACAGACTGAGGAGTTCAAATTAAAAGTAAAAAAAATGATATAAAACTTCATTTTGAAATATTGTCACACCATCGTTTCAGTAGTGCACCCTATGGCTTCCCTTATCTCTGCAAATGTTTGACCAAATTTGGACGGGGCCAAGAATGTATTAAAGGTGTCTCAGACTATGGATCCGTTTCCATTCTTTTACAGTATGTGTCCACTCACCTCCCTCAATCTCCTCAGTGGGGAATCGAAAGAGAGACACGAGGAACAGTGCGTAGACTATAGGGTGAAGATTAGGATTTAGCCATTGATTGGAAGATCCTCTGGAAACGGGGATGCTCTGGGATGTTTTCCATTTCAGCTGGGGAGAGAGGACGTGACTCTAGAAAGCCCAAATTAACATAATGACAGCACCCACTGTCTGGGGGAAATTGTTGAAGGTAGCAGTGCTGTGAGGCTATTTTTCAGTTGGTTTCATGTTAATTTGCATTATTTTAATTGAACTCGACTCCTTTCTTGAATTTTTGGCTAATAAAAACTCCTTTTTGCACATATTTCTGCCTCCTGAGCTATCCTTCAAACAAACATTTTAACTCACCACCAGTTCCAAAAAGCCTTACTTACATCCCTTTGTCATGTATGGTTATTGTGTAGTGCTTCAGGCCCACAGGAATGAATAAGGAGGCTTTTAAGTGTTGTGGTTAAGAATCTGATATTCTCTTGACTTGTTGGTGGTGTTGCTGCTAGCCATTACTCTCCACCACTCCAGAATAATGAGCTCTCATGATCATCAGACAGTCCAAACTTCCTCAGCTGTCAAAGGTGACAGTTTCATGTGTATAAATGTGTACCCTGTATTTATGATTATATTGGCAGAAGGCTCTATAGATCAAAGATACACCGTGCCAGTTTGCAGCCAGAGCAATGAAGTCAACCATTGCCTGTGACCAACTTATCATACAGTGAAACGTTTTATCAGAAGGAAATATGTTGACCAATTTAAAATGTTTTTACATAAAACACTTCAGTTTGAATCCAGAAATGTTGTATATTGTTATAAAGAGAAAGCTAACTTCCTCAAACATCTTACTAAAATAATAAACTGCTCTCTCATTATGATGTGACAGATTTTTTTAAACTTAGGTGGCAGCAACATGCTTACATATGCAGCCTTGTTGAAAAACTAATGTATTGAGATGTCCCACAGGCTTAACATGTCATCAGTGCTGATTGCTCTCCCTTCAGTGAATGAGATAGACGCCTCCTTTACTGAATATACCAAACTTCATTTCAAGTTGTAGGTTTTACACATAAAAGTTCATTTCATAATGGATACACTCACTGGTTAGTTAACTAGGGCATTGTTGGAGAAATATTTAACGATATTCAATAGTCAGTGTTGTCTATTGTGCTGTCCATTAACAAAAGGTTACAAAAGTGTCATGATGTTCATTAAAGCTCTTAGAGAGAACTCTTCATTGGCCAAAATTAGAAGTGGAAGGTTTGACTTATCAGAAATGAAAATTCACAAAGATGTTTTCATATCTCTTACATTATTCAATGCCATTTAAACAACAACAATAAACAAGTTCAAAACAGCTTTACCTACAAAGAGTAAAAGATTTATTATTTATCACATTATCTTCTTATTACTTTTATTTCATATTAACATTAATAATTATTACCTAAGAAGAGTATGGAACAACACTTCTTTTTATGGTCAAAAATGTCCAAAACTGCAGTATAAAATATAGCAAGTCCTTCTTCTGGCATTTCAGCGTGGCCTGTAACTTGATGAGATGCTAGTGATGTTTTTGGCCCAGACCTCTGAGGGTAAGAAGAAACATACAAAAGGTCCAGAGGTCAGGGTACACTATGCATCCAATATAAGAGCTACAGAGGGAAACGAAAGGTCTTGTTTCCTGTCCTGCATTGCACCTCAACGCAATCCAACATTAGCTGAAATGGTCCTTCTTCATGATCATCAACCAGACTCTAACATGAAAAATCAGAGACATGTGAACATTGGTAAGCTGGTAAAGAGTGTCATTTCAAAACTGAACAAGTCCAAGTTAGTGTCATCTGAATCAACTTTTTCTTTGGTCAAGAGTGTTCAGACTGATTTTGTTGAAGTCAAACATATGAAACTTAAGGCCAAACTAGAATACATCTTTTGTTATTCCCAACTGAAAAGCATAACAGCCGACACAAAATACTGAACAAATGTTTTTTTTGTAAGAATGCATTCATTTGGTTCAATAAAGAATTCTGACCTGAACATGTCATTTCACGGTTAAAAAAAAATATCACTGACCTCTGTGGACAAATTATATTAGTTTGTCTTAAGAGTATCTTCAAATTCTCTGCCTGATTTTATTGCAGTTTCTAACAACAGTAATGCAAATACCAGCTCAATCAACAGTCAGCTACATTGGTTGGCCTACTTGTCTGCAAACATAAAATCAGTTTCAAATATACTGGGGTACATTATATCAGTATATCGTTCAATGTACAGTATATATTTGGATTTTACATGACAATAAGGAACAACAAAACTAAACAAAAAAAACAATGCTTAGAGTCATCAGACCCATGACATCCATGTACCTGCAGCTCCTGAATTCCTTCCTTCATCTGTTCCCTCAAATCTCCAACACACCAGGCTAAACTTACATGGAAAGACGGATCCTAGAAAAATGGAACATGAAGAAGATAGGTCACAAGCGCTACTTTAGATTATTTTAGATGATTTGACAATTATTCAAAAACAATTACTTACAACCACTCATTGTCTGATACTTTTTTCATTTTAGATCACTCTGAAAAATGTACTTTGATGCAGATTCAGGGTAAATACTCTATTACCAACAATTCAACAACAGTAAGAGATTAATTAACACTAAAGGTGACACACAAACAGGTGCTGCTAATGATACAATTCACTTTGCTTGGGTTAAAATTAACTGATGAGTGACCTTATAGAAAGGGTCCAAGTGAAACTCTGCCATTGTTTTGTCTACTACTTGGACCAGGTCCAACAACTGGGCATGCCCATTAGACACTTCCATCCCGAGAAATGTCCTGCAGGGGACAACAGACAGACGCACATAGAAGCAGTTAGACTAATATGACTTAAACCATGGTGAGAAAATTGACACATGAAGAAAGCAGAAAGGTCAGACTAAACTTAACAGGGCTTTAAATTATTTTTCATTCTTTGACCCATGGCTAGAGTAGTGATTGTTTACAGAGCAAGATCATGTGACCAGAGCACATGTTAGTGTTTTGAAAAAAAGAGATAAAATCTAAAGGCACTGGTGGTACCTTGTTCCTTCAGCATTACAATAGATCCTCAGTCTCCCCGCTGAACATATAAACCTGGCAACAGGAAACAAAGCTTGTTAAAATACAAAGAGTTTGTGGTGTCATTACCAAATTTTTTTTGCAACAAATCTCCAGTGCCAGTGATACTCTATGATGCTGCTGCAAATAAAGTCTTGACTTTTCATGTGGTATTTGAAATGGCAAACTGTTTTTATATTGTATTTATGGTAATAAACTGGTTATTTTAAATATGTCAGTCACCATCTCATTTACAGTAAAGTTAAATGATCTGTTCCATAAATTCATCACTACCTAAGTTATAAATACAATGCATTATGGCTTGTAAAATCAATAAATTACACTGAGGATAGCAGGGGGGAAAAACAGAAACCTCTTGCAATGCACAAGGCCGGCTCTGAGACTCTGTGTGAAGGGCTGGATCCAGTGGTGTCTCAGCGCCACTGTCTGAGACAGGCTGAGGTGAAACTCCTCCTGAGGGGTCATCACCACACCACGACCCCTCGCTACCAAAAGCATTTCCTTCAACAACAACCTGAATTCTTCTTCAGGAAGGTCTGAAAGCACAGAGAGACAGGACCACAAAAGAAGTGAGCAGGGGTACGTGACTCTTGTTTAATGATAAAGCATGTTGTGTTGTCTTACGTGGTAAATAAACGTAAGTGGCCCAGTTGCCTCTCTCGTGTTTAAACGAGCGGATACGTCCACCATGAAGAGCACTTTGTTCAGACTGTGAGTCCACTTCATCTGGGAACATCTCCAACAAGCAACCAGGAAGAGGCAACCTGGAAACACTTCAAAATAAAAGCGTTTATTTAATTTATATTAGCTACAATGATTACGTTACAGACATGTGCATATTGGTACATGTGTTATTTATCTTATAAGCTTCATAGGCAGCCTAACCTTTTTCCATAATGTTTATGAAACAGCATGTTCTGTGCAGCCTTCTTACACTATTGTAAAACACAGTCTGCTGCTCCACCCGAGCGACATAAACCATCATCAATATACCTTGTTTCAACAACCTGCTCCTTCATTTTCGGTTTCTTTCTTTGTGGGCTGTGGTCATCTTCCTCCTGACACTTAGAAGAGACAGGTGAGTTTTGAGGAGTGGTCGATGGAGCCTCACTTTCCTCCTCTGAGCTGCTGCTGTATGCAGTCAACATCACCGACAACCTCACCTTTTAACACTGAATAATAAGTTCAGATTAGAGGAAACACCACATTATAACTATTAAACCCAGTACAATCCTTCACTTCCGATGAAATCCAACATTAATTCGTGTCCCCTGTGAAACACAACCCCACCTCTCCTCAGTTCCCCTCGCTGATGTAACAGCAGGGGAAACACCGTGTGTGCTTTTTCGACACTGTGAAATTTAGTTTGGCTGTAATTTGTTAATTTGGCGACATTTGGTTTATGGCATTACAACATTGGGAATGGTTGTCATATTCAGTCGAAAGTAGGCGACGATGTCATTTTTAAAAGCATCATTTTTGATTGATAAATAAGAGTACGTGTGTGTGTGTGTGTGAGCATGAGCATGCCAATTAAGTCTTGGCGTATTCATGTTCCCGTGTCCGGGCAGCGGCTCGGAGCTAGCCGATAGCTCACTAGCAATTCAAAAAAAAAAAAAAGAAAAAGACACACATGTTTAGAGAACCAGATGTAATGTCCTGTGAGGCAGACAGATATCTTTTTTCTTTTTTGTGGTGAAACGCCCGCGTCTTCTGTAAGATTTGGCATGTCGCGGTGATTTTTCGGCCCCATTTTAATGACCCGAAAATCGCCGATTTTTTTTGGGCCCCAAGGAGCCACAGAGCACGAACAAGAGAGGAAAAGGGAGCACGGTTTGCGGATGTCAAGAAGGGACTAGAAGCTAACCCAGCAGGCTACCGACTGGGAATCCTGTTGTTGTTGTTGTTGTTGTTGTTACGCGCCCCTGGTATGTGAATACAAAAGTTGGCTTGTCAGTGTTTACATGCAGCAGTCATTATAAACATGTTACAGCAGCTGCTCCAGGTCGATAGATGAACTAACTCGCTGCTGTGCTTCTGTAGTGGTGTTAGCACGGTGCTAGGCTAACTAGCTCACACATCCTGCCTGGTTGCAGTGATATGTGTCTGAAGACGCAAACATTACGATGCTCAGAAATTCCCTTTTTTTTTTTTTTTTTACTTTTTCCCCACTGCTGCGATAATTTTGTATTTCTCCATTTGCAGAGAGGGGGCTTTATAACAGCCTCATAAAGTGTGTAATGTTTTTGTTTTGTGATTTATGTCCGAGAGTGTAAGTTTACGTGTTTACTCTTTTTGTTTTTCTGCGTTCTCGGATTTTGTTTTAGCAATTTTTTGAGATCTTTAGACTTTTGCATTGGAGTAACATTAAATGCAAACGTGATGGTAACACACTTGTGCTCAGGCAAAAGTGTTATAATTGTTCTGTCCGGATTGCATCGAGCAGGTATCGAAAAAGCTGCTTTGACATGTGTGTGTGTATATTTGACGATTTTTAACCGCACAAACCACAAGTAGCTACCCAAGCTGATTCATCAAAATATAGTTAAAGACAACGAACACATCTCCAATCTTTGTATACACACATTACCTGTTTAGTCAGTAATGTCTTTAACAATGTTGCAGATCCACAGATTAAAGACACTACGACTTATCAAACATGTTTTTACCCTTTACTGTATTTTGACTTGCCCTGTGTTTCTTTTGCGTACAGATACCATCGCAAGGCCAGGAATAAAGTGAAAGGAGGAGAACCCCTGAATTTCTTCCCTGTGTGGAGCGGTCTCTGTCATACAACGCCTTTGTCACAGCCCCTACATCAAGATTGAAGAGTGATTTAGTGCCAGTTGCCAAAATGGAGTGAGTTTTTGTTCTGTATTCTTACCACGATCCAAATCCTTTAGCCTATCACTGAAATAAGTGTCTATCTCCCTTTTGTCACCACAGTTGGGCTACATCAGCTGCCAAGGTGAATCCCTACAGCCGAGCTCGCATGACTGAGACGTGGCAACATGCTCCCCCTCCAGTTGTTCACACAATCCCTCCTGGAACTGAGAATGCGTTAGGCTGTGCCGTGTATGGCATTGTACTGCAACCAGATGCAACATCTATACAGCAGCAGCAACAGAGCCAGCATGGGCAGCATAGCCAACAACATAATGGGAGTCAGCAGCATGGAGGCGGACAGCACAGTCAGCAGCAGCAGCAGCACCCTGCCCAACAGACCTCCCTACAGGTAGGTACAGAGGGAGTGCACAAATGTGGGGCCTGTGGACATGACATCTCTCATTTGGCCAACCCACATGAACACCAATGCATGGTGAGTCAGGACAGGTCATTCCAGTGCACCCAGTGCTTGAAGATTTTCCACCAGGCGACAGACTTACTTGAACACCAGTGTGTTCAGGTGGAGCAAAAGCCATTTGTGTGTGGCGTGTGTAAGATGGGCTTCTCCCTACTCACCTCTTTAGCCCAGCACCACACATCACATAACAGCACCAACCCAATGAAATGCTCTATATGTGAGAAGACTTACAGACCTGGTTCCTCTGGCAATGTTACACCCAACCAAAATAATCTCCTGCAGACGAGCAGCGAAAGGGCATCGTCAAGCAGCAGCTCTTCTATCCTACCCTTTCCCTCAGCACGAGACCGGCCGTACAAATGCTTGGTTTGCCAGAAGGGCTTCAAACATCTCTCAGAACTCACACGGCACGAGAGGGTGCACACAGGAGAGAAGCCTTTCAAATGTGATACATGTGACAAGGCCTTCAGCCAGTCTTCACACCTGCAGCACCACCAGCGGACTCATAGCAGTGAGCGCCCATTCAAATGTGCTGTTTGTGAAAAGAGTTTTAAGCACCGCTCCCACCTTGTGCGCCACATGTATGTACACTCTGGTGAGCACTTGTTTAAATGCAACTTATGTGAGCTGCACTTCAAAGAGTCGTCAGAGCTCCTTCACCACCCCTGCCACCCACAGGGTTCCCGCCCGTTCCGCTGTGCAACATGTGGTAAGGGTTTCAAACGGCCATCTGACCTACGTCAGCATGAGCGCACACACTCCGAGGAGCGTCCCTTCCACTGTGATGAGTGTCAGATGAGCTTCAAGCAGCAGTATGCTCTGGTGCGCCACCGACGCATGCACAAAGACCCCACTGACCGGCCATTCAAATGCAATCTGTGCGACAAGGGTTTTATGCAGCCCTCTCACCTCCTGTACCACCAGCATGTCCACGGCATGGACAACCTTTTCAAGTGTGCCTCATGCCAGAAGGAGTTCAGCCAGTCAGGAGAGCTGCTCAGACACAAATGTGGTGAATCGTCCAGTACCTCACCTGACAAGCCTTACAAGTGTGATGTCTGTGGCAAGGGCTACAAGAAGAGTTCAACATTACAGCGACATCAAAATGCTCACTGCCAAGAGAAGCCCCTTAAGTGCTCCCTTTGTGACCGTCGCTTCCTGTCTTCTTCAGAATTTGTTCAGCACCGCTGCGACCCATCGCGTGAGAAGCCGCTGAAATGCCCTGACTGTGAGAAACGTTTTAAATACTCATCAGACCTGAACAGACACCGGCGCGTGCACACAGGGGAGAAACCGTACGAATGCAGCCACTGCAACAAGGGCTTCAAACAGCGAGAGCACCTGATAAAACACCAGAGCACCCACTCCAGAGAAGGCCAGTTCAAGTGTGTATGGTGCGGTGAGCGTTTCAGCGACTTGGGCTCTTTGCAGGATCACACAGTGCAGCACACAGCAGATGGAGGGGGTTACGCAGTCTCCCAGTGCATTTAAATCCACTTTCCCTTGAACGGACATAACCCCAAAGCCCTCTCCTCTTGTCTGTGTCTTGAAGGCTTTTTTGTAGCCTCCAGGCTATTGTTACTGCATCTGTTTTGTTGATATGTCAAGTTTTTGTGTCTTCAATAACTTGTTGAAAACCCTTTTTTTACTGTAACCATCTCATTCCAAAATCCCAGAGAGGCCTTTTTTCTCTCTGCACTTTTCTTTTTGCGCCACTTCTTTTTCTCCTCAGACCTGTCCTCTGTCCTTAAAACACACATAGGAGCAAAGACTTCACAACCCCTATAACTTTAATAAGCCAATAGACAAATGTGCCCATGCTGATCTGTACCTGATGATTGATTGGCATTGAAGTCTGTGGAACTCTACAGACCAGTTTTAAAATATTCCCTTATTTTATTTTTAGGTGTATTTGCAGAGTTCTGTCTCACACACTGGTCCAGATTTTATCTTGTATTGTGTTTCAGTTAGTTTGATAGGTTGATACGTGGTGACAAGATTATATGGTTTTCATCTTTATAGTCATCAAAAGACTTTGTGATTTCTTATGCCTGAGTGATGGAGACATGGACATGTTTCAAGGGCCAACTCCCGTTAGGACTGAAATTTTGAATATACAAGTGTTATTTTACCATGCAGTGCACCTGTGTAGACGCATCTTCATATATTCTTCTCCACTTATTTGAGGTACTCTTTCTTTTGTCACCCATCCATGTAAAGAACTACTTAGGTCGTACAAGAAAATGACAGTGCTGTCAGACTTGTTTTACTGAAAATGTTCAAGATCAGCCTGTATATACTGTGATTCTGTGAGTATCTCAGCCACATGAGATGGAATTGTCAGACTGTGTATTTCTTAAAAATAATGAGAATAGTTTTTTGTATTCTAGCTACTTTTAAAATGTAAACATTTTGACATATGCTCTCTTGTTTTGTGTTGCATTTAGTGACTGTATTCAGTTTAATATGTTGCAGGAAATCTCATAGATTGTTCTGAAAATGAGTGTTTGAGTGTGTGAATGTTTATAGTTTTCTGTTAAACGGCGAAATTCTATTAGTGTCAAACATTTTCAATGTTTTGAAGGAGGTATTAATACAGTTTTTCTGTTACTTGTTGCCTGCTGTTGATTTTGTGTAAGGGCAAGTTTTTAAGAGTGAATGACACCTTCCTCCTCTTGTTTTTTTGTTTGTTTGTTTTTTTTAACTTAGGAAGCCTGGAACACAAGTTTCTTAACATCTATGCGGTCGCAACCTTTTTTTCTTTCTGTTTTTTTTTTCTCATCGCAACCCCTCCCCCTTCTTTCGTCCTTGCTTCCTGATTTAAGAGCAGTATTGAATACAAAAGAAGACACCAAGGAGATAGAAGCAACCTCTTCGTTTTTTTTTTTGCAATTATATTTTTTCTTAAAGCCTTAAAATGAGGCCACAGTGCCTCTTTGTCGCTTTCTCCCCTACTACTTTCTGTCCCTGATCTTCATCACCATCATTATCATCATGTTTGGTCAGATGGTAGATTCAATCAGCAATCAGAATTGTATTTCCTGGATCTGGAATCATAAGCCTTTGAGTATGTCTTTTGGTATGTTTAACACATGTTTTTGCATTTTTTAATGGATAATTTTACAATTGATATGCATATCTATATTCCTTAGGAAAGAAACCAAGGCCTTGGGGTCAATTTGAGCATTTCTGCCAGAGTTTAATTAGTGACCACAGTTCCCAATTTTTTCGATAGCCAAATCAAATAGGAAACCATTTTTACCCAAAATACTGTTTAGGGTGGGGTTGTAACAATTGACTAACAATATCAACAATTAAGTAATCAATGAGGATAGATTTATTGTGCAGCATTCAGTTCAGGTAGGATAAACAGCGATAGACCAATCTGAGAATGCATTGGAAGTACTTCATAGTGACAAAAAGGCTTCACTTAACACACCATGATCAATTAAATTATCCAGTATGATTCATTCGGGGACAAAAAGTTTAGCTACCAGTTTACACTATTATTCCTCTTTCCCTTTTTCATTTCATATTAAGCTGTCAGACCCCGTTTTTTCTCTCTCTTTGCATGCTTGCTGTGTTAGTTCCTGTGTTCTTTTCCTGGGAACAGGTGATCTCTTCTTGTCCTCACGGCACTGCTCCCTCATAGCCTTTTTAAATTGTACTGTAGTTTATGTGAATGATGTTTAAAAAAGAAAATACTTTGTGGCGACGTACAGTACGTGTACATTCATGCTAAGATTTCTGTCTGTATGTAGCCTTCAGTTACACAGCACTAACAAATAAAACTTTTTTATTTATAACTTGCACGTGTCGTAAATTCATTTGAGCATGAAATCACAAGAAACACAAAGCTCTAAATATAGACGTCAAATTTGTTAGATTTTTTTTAAATTATGAATTATTTACCTATATCCTTTAAATTTGATAATATTCAAGCAAAACATTATCTTCCATCAGTGTTAGTACTGCATTAATTACAGTTTTGAAATAAAAGGGGACAAAGAAATACAACTATAATTTTCTCATTAGGTGTAATGCATACTTGACGAAGGCTCACTATATTTACCTGTTTGCATCATGAGAAAAGATGCAGTTCATCACTGAGGGGCTTGAACCCTGAAAGGTTTTTTGCAGTTATTCACAAAGCTCATTCTTTGCCAAGTATTTACAATACCATACTTTTAAGTATGGGGGTCAATATCCCAAATGTGTTGTTTATTCTAACACAAAAGTATATGCCTTATTAACTCTAAACACATACAGGCTAATCAGTCGATACATTTTCATTTGTAAAGAGTCAATTAATGTAAAATGTTTTTAGAGTTAGTCTTTTGGTGTTGGCAAAACGTTATACAAGACCACCACCAAACAGACTTAAAGAAGTGGCTGATTGCAACTTGCTACTCAAACAGAATACAAGATATATTATGATTGTAACAGGCAATGGGAGATGCCACCTAGTTGTTAAAATGGTTTACACACAAAGAAAGTGATACACCTTTGAGCATTGCGCCTTACCTTGAACAATGCACCTTGCACTGTTAAACTAGCAGCAGTGGAGTAGGTCAAGTCCTTAGTGCACTTCTACAATCAATAAAACAGATGCAATCCTGATAGAAATATGGCCGTTAAAATACATTTTGGCAAACAATATATAGAACTGATAGATAAATCTGATAACAACAAGGCTATTAAAACGCTAGACATATGTAGGCTAAGGCATTAAATACTTATGTGTAATATATTTTTGTATCAAGTTACATTCATAGCCCTGGTTATTGTGTTTCATGTTACTCTATGCATACTTTTATTGTATACAATGTCTTTGGCAGCACATTGCATTCACCAAATTATTATTATAAGATCTGTTCTCATTATTGTGAGATCCTGATCTCATAACAATGAGATCCTTTCTCATAATTATGACATCCTGATGTTGTAATATGATATCTTTTCTCATAATTATGAGATAATGTGTCAATTTTTTTTCTTTGGTGAATGCAATGAGATTCCGTAAAGATAAAGTACAAGAACAGTAGACATAGAGTAACATGAAACAGAATAGCCAGGGCTATAAATGTAACTTTATACAAAAAATCAATGCAATAATGGGCTATTAGAGAAAATAAATGAACGCTTTAGACTAATATGTTCAGCGTTTTAATAGCCTCGTTGTTATTAGATTAATCTATCAGTTCTATATATTGTTCGCAAAAATCTACTGCCACATGAAATATTCTCAATAAAGATTTGAAAGCTACAGAACACAAACATGATATACTGTATAGCAGGGATGGGCAACTTTGGTCACAGGAAGGGCCACATTCATTTAATTCTCACTGCCAGGGGGAATACAAAAACGACTACAGTCAATTATGTCTCAAATTTAACTCAACATACACCAGTGATCAAATATTATTATTGAATTGATATGTAAAAATTGACTTGAGGGCCACGTTGAGGGTTGATGGGGGCCGCATGTGGCCCTCGGGCCGCGAGTTGCCCACCACTATAACTCCCTGACCACTAGAGGGCGCTGTGTCGCCAGCTGCTCAGCTGCTTTCACATCCGGGCGGCTCTCTCGATTTTCTTCAATCGAAATCCGCTTTCCTTCCCTCCGCTCTCGACAGGGGAGGTCTGAAGCTGCAGAACCCTCCCCCTCCCTGAAACCCCGGGCCCTTGGTCGGCGTCTGGTATCGGGTCATTTGGGAGCTGCTTTCCCGCACTGCCGGCAGCACATGACGCGGGCTCCGCCGAGCGCTCCCCGTCGGTGCGACATCATCCCTGCGGTGAAGGAGTAGCATCGCTGGCTAACGTCAGCTAACAACACCGATCTCTTTGCTGCTCCACCCCCTCTTCCTCCTGGTCAACCCCCGCTACCGATCTGTCACATCAGTAGTGGATTGATAACTTAAAACAGGACCACCGAGGGCAACCCCCCCCCCCCCCCCCCCCCCACCTCGACGACCTTCTGTTGACTAGCGCAGGAAGCCCACGCTTTCTCAACAAACGAGTCGGAGTAAGGACCGTGTAGCTAGTTCAGTTTTAACCCTCATATTGAGACAAACGACCTTTCCTTTCGCTCTGTGGCCTTTAGGGATCCGTGTATTCTCTACCTCATCACCCCGATGCCTATTATTCCCGTTGTGTAACTTCAGCTGCCCTGTCAACCCAGTTCTGATCACACCCCCCCCCATCCCCCCCCTCCTCCCCTGTGAAGCTCACCGACACCTCCTGCTCTCACAGTCCGACCAGCGAGCGCTTCTTGATGGGCACCGACTGCAGTGACTCCCAGCCGACATCTCCACTTTACTCTCTTTTACTCTTCAGTTCTTCTCGGTTCAGCTGCGTTGTGAAACTGGCTGACTGGCCTTTTAAACTGACTACCTTAATAAATTAAACTAGCAGTCACCTTAAAACTGCGACCCCCCCCCCCAGCAGATCTCCTAAACAAACTCCACAGCGCGCCCGGGTCTCGCCATGCCGGGTCCGGTGGCCGGAAGCAAATCCCGTGTGTACGCAGATGTCAACACGCTGAAAAGCCGGGAGTACTGGGACTACGAGGCCCATGTACCCAACTGGAAGTGAGGGGTTTTCACTGCAAGCTTCTCTAATTGCATGCATGGGATTTCTTACAACACAAAGTAATGGCGTTTGGTGTTTGTGGGAAAGTGAATGTCAGATGGTTGTCATTTGTTTTAGGCTACTGTACATTTCAGAGAGTCTCAGGGTGGAGGGTAGTATGTCTGTCTCCCGACCCACAACCCCATGCTGTCCTACAATGTCTGAGGCTTTTTTTTGCTCTGACCTCAATTTTTGTTCAAATGTCTTGCTCTGCCTCTTCTCTTAAATTACATCTTCAGATCAGGAACAGAATACACTGAATACGCCAAGGCAGAGTTTATCTGTATGATGAATATTAAGCAATATCTTAAACACAGTCTTAGTTGCATGTTGATGGTAAAATATGTCCTCAGATCTGTCACTCTGTGTGTCCCTGTAGCAACCAGGAGGACTACCAGCTGGTCCGTAAGCTGGGCAGGGGAAAGTACAGTGAAGTCTTTGAAGCAATCAACATCACCAACAATGACAAGGTGGTTGTCAAGATCCTAAAGGTGAGCCGCTGGTTCTCATTGAACTACTCTGTAAGCTTGCAATTCAATTTAAAAACCTAATACAAATTTGACTATTTAAATATATTTCAGATATTTTAACCATCAGAGGCAGACATCGCTATTGTATGAAAAGAACTGTAGAAGCTATTTTAAAAAGATATTATCAGTGTCACTTTGGATAAAAAATAATATATTTATATATAGAGAGATAGATTTACAAGGCAATGGATATGTATTTATTATAATCAGAATTGAGACTTAAGAACCACATGAACTCGTAATTTGACTTCAATCTTATGATGTAAAAATCTGAGACTTGAGTTGAGTGTATCACAACATTCCTACAGATCTGTTATGATTGAGTGATTGGAGACCTCTCACATTTATTTCCTATTTATACAGTAAATGATCAGGTTAGGAGGGTCTGAGGGTCTGCCCCGAAAATTCTAAGCACTAAAAATGATTATTATCATTTGTTGCCTGTTGGTCCTTGATGATGTTAAAACAATGACGAATGCATTCCTTTAAAAACTTTTATAAACTTGGACAGGAGAATTTTTTTTTTTTGGGTCATTTTGTGCCTTTATTGGAGAGATAGGACAGTGGATAGAGTCGGAAATTAGGGAGAGAGAGTAGGGAAAGACATGCGGGAAAGGAGCCACAGATCAGATTCGAACCTGGGCCGCCTGCTTGGAGGACTACAGCCTCCACACATGGGGCGCGTGCTCTAACCACTGAGCCACCAGCGTGCCGACGGGAGAATTTCTCTGTCTGTATTCCAGCCCTGCAGAATTACTCAAGCTGTATCTTTAAACAAGTAGCCTTTGTAAAGCTGATCATAATTTAGAATGACATTATATTCTTTATGCACTTGTAAGAATGGCAAACTAGGAACATTTAAAAATAACCAAGAATGTGATTAATTTCTTTACCACATGGTCAAGCAGTGAAGACATGATCTTATTACTATTGTTTTTTGGGTTCATTGTTTTAATTTAAGAGGGTCTTAGCAGTTTTGTTGACTATCGCACTTGCCTGTGAAAGAAAGAGCAGATATGCTACACGGAAATAATTGAAAAAGGCCCGGACCTCCCATAACTCTGCACAAGAAAAAAGATTCTTGAAGTTTACTGCGTTACTGTTAGCCCTGTAGCTAGCGGTAGCTCCGGGCATCCTGGTGCTTTGTCCACTGAACTCCTGCTCCATGGATCATCACTGCAGGCCTGGAGCACTGTGTGTTTACATGAGTTACGTGTATTTTCTGTTTTTGTGTTTTTTCATTAATTATATTTGCAGCATTTTTGTATTTATTGCAGTTTTTCTGCGTTTTGCTGTACTTTAGTAAAAATGAGTGCATTCCTGTGTTTTGCATTGGCATCGTTTCTGGTTTTGTAGCCTGTTTTCTTCCCCTAGTGAAATCATTTGGGTGGTGACAGTGCGATTGCCCTTGTTCTCTCTCTAAAGTTATTGTAACAACAAGTCCAAATTATTTAAAAATAATTCTGAGTTACTGTTTAGAAAGTTCAAAATCTGAGTTACTGATGGGTTGTGTATTTAGTGTAGCAGCAGAAATTAAAGGACTTACTCATAGGATACATGTTTGTCTAGATGTTTACTTATATTTATTTTAATTAAATGCTCAGATGATTGAAAAGTACAATTAATTCAAAGGATAATATAATAACAAATAGAAACTGGTATAAAAAAGAAAATATTTAATGATTAAACATGTTAGTAATTATTGATTAGATAAATATAGATATTTTTATATTTAAGACATTAAAATTTCTATGAATAGTAAAAGTGGTGCTGACTAACCTCCCACTTGCTTTAAATGAACTGATACATGATACAAAGATTGATTGATGCTGAGAAATTAGGAACAGCAGGGGAAGCTGGATCAGCAGGTCAGAGGTCAGAAAAAGAACACTACCAAAAGTCTATGTTCGAGTGTGAAGTAATTCTCTTTTTGTTCCTGTCTTGCCTCTTGTGGCCTTGTTGATCCTCTTGTGGATTTAGCCAGTCAAGAAGAAGAAGATCAAGCGAGAGATCAAGATACTGGAAAACCTCAGAGGGGGTACCAACATAATTCGACTGGTGGACACAGTCAAGGACCCAGTGGTAGGCTTGCTATTGCTATGTGTGTCCCATTTAGCAAAACTCATTCCACACATGGTGTGACTGGCATTCATTCATTTTATTTGCTTTCTTTTAGAGGCAAAGACTTCAGGGAGTAGTTGGGCAACTGTCTGAAGAGTTATTTTATTCTGATGTTTGTAAAGTTAGGAAATGAATGGAAGGGGTTGTGACTGAGACTTTGCATCTATCATTTTCAGTGTTGGTTCTTGTATTGAACGATGTTTCTCTGCAATGTTATTTGAAACCATCAACTAAAGATAACCCTACCTACAGCTTGATCAAACTGCTAGCTACTTTATTTCATGGCAATTGTTTACCACAGTAATACGAGTTTCTGTAAATGTGATCAGTTTCTGAATTTTCCAACTGGTCCAGAAATGTTCAAATTAATTTTAGGGTGGAAAAAAACAAAAAAAGGAGAATATTTTTGTGCCATGGAGGACACTGTTTGTGTTAGTTTGGATTTCAGTGTAGTGAGGGTATTCATGCATTGTATTTCTTTATGTGGGATGAAGGTTCTACTCAAACTACATGGGTTAGAAAATGTTTGGTATAATCCATTTATGTAAGATCTTTTTAAAAATCAGTCAAAATCATCTGCCTGTTGGTCTGTCGTGCTTGATGCAGGGATCTGACTGTGTGTTGACATTACTAATGCTTAAGTATACCAACACAGTGGAGTTTTTGAATCTCTGAATGATCCGGTGACTGAATCAGTATGATGATGCCCTGATTTAATTATTGTTCATCAGTTGAGTGATTTTGACTCTCTAAATCTTCCTCCCCTAACCCCCCTCTGTCTCTGCGGTGGCTGTACAGTCCAGAACTCCTGCGCTCATCTTTGAATGCATCAATAACACAGATTTTAAGGTAAAATACACACCTCTCATCTGCCCGTGTCAGAGGTCTTTCAGGTCATTATGAATGTTTTTGCACTTGATGCAATGTTTCAGTGTCTTAATCAGTTTGGGGGAATGGTTCTAAGACACGTCAGCTTTTTAAACAAATTTGAAAATCATATTAAGGTTAAATTCCTTATATAAATGTGTTATTCCCTGCAGGAGTTGTACCAGAAGTTAACAGATTATGATATCCGTTTCTATATGTATGAACTACTAAAGGTGAGTGTCACAATCCTTGTCGTGGATTATTTTCCTTTTGAAATATAAAGTTTAATCAGTCTGAAATTTTCTCACCTTAATTCTTGGGAAGGTTCCTTGATATTCAATAGTTTTGAAGTAAATATTTGTGTACCTGTCTGTGCTGACCTGTATGTTTGTTTGTCCTTTAGGCTCTTGACTATTGTCACAGTATGGGAATCATGCACCGTGATGTTAAACCCCACAACGTTATGATTGACCACCAGTTGAGAAAGGTTGGTGTTGCCCTATGTAGCCCTTTTACCTACACACTACCAAGCTCTGAATATTGCGCTTCCCCCTGCTATCCCCCCTGTTGTTTATCATTGCACTCTTAATTTTCTTTTTAAGTTCTTTTTTTTCTATTCTCCATTTGTAAAGGACTAAGATTACGGATTCTTGGTTGCAGTCAACTCTGGCATAATTGACATATTGTTCCTGTAATATGTTTGACCACAGTGAAATCCTTACAATATCCTGTTAGTCAGTGTTAAAATGCAATTAGGGTGTACATGTAAACTAGGGTGACCATATTTTCAAACCTCTAAATCGGGACGCTTTACTTTAGCCACAAACCCACATGTATCAATGCACAGATCTATGACATGCACTGGTGACACAAAGTGGTCGGCAAAGCTGCGCTCCTGAGCAGCCTGTTGAAGTTGTCTCCAGTGTTTGCCTCACTGAAGTAGATTGTAGCAGTGCTACTCCCAGCCTGAGTCCATTTTTGGTTTGCTTGTTTTTAATACATGCGTTGCTTTGTTTGTATCATTTCCAGCATGTGCGACTGTTCGTTTTAAGCAGCATATTCACTGCCTTGTACTTTTCAAAGGAAGCTGTAACACTCCCAAGAGATCTTTGGAAAACACTGACTACCTGTTCAGTTTGACAGCTAGCCTACCTGTGGTTTGTAGCAGGTCCTGTTAGTATGATAAGCTGGGCTAGCTAAGCAACAGCGGCATATCAGAGATTGATTGACGTGTGTTCAGAAAAATCAGTATTGCGCTTTGACTCAGGGTGCATTAGTGATGTTTTTCTATTAGTTAAAACATCATCAGCCTTGGCAACGACATTGATTGACATATATACAAACAAATCAGTGTTGCACAGTGTATTGTTTCGGTTGGTTAAAACTGTGACAGGGACTGTTAAAAACCAGGACTGTTTTATAGATATCTGTGGTAACTTGGAACACAGAGCTTGAAAGCGTGACGGTGTCGATCAAATCAGAACATTGCCTACATCGACATGGCAAACCCTGATAAGAAAAAAACCTTGTGGCTGTTTACCTTTTCTTTTGCATGTAAAGCCCTGTGAGTTCTACCAAACTGGGGCTTATCATCCAACATGGGTACCTTCTACAGAAGAAGTCAGCCCCTCACTGAAAGTCCTAAAAGTTAGGAAAGAAAGGGGAACACAAGCTAGGACTGTATCCATAGTTAATAATTCTGTCACCACAGTGCTAGTGGTTTGGACTCAGGCCAAGGCCATGGATAATGACTGTGATTGTGGTAAGCTTTTTTTTACACAGCCAAACACTGGCAAAAAAAAGTATTGTGAAGCCAAACACAACAACATCGACCATAGCCAAAGTCAGAGCAACAGAAATCTCCAAAGGTATCGCTATGCTAACAGTCTATATACAAGTTCCACCACAGCTATAGTAGCAGTGCTGGTTATTTTAATGTAAGATGGAAATTGGCTGAGAACTGAGAAAACAACTTTTACCATGGTTCTATATTCTTCTGCTGCAGGACAACAAACATAAGCTGCATTAAAAAAAAAAACTTAATTATTAACACAATTTGGAACTCTAAAAGTCAAAATATATCATTTTTTAAATTATATTTTAGGTGTATCTCACTGATAACCACTTTAACCCCAGTTGATTCATGCCCTTCTACTTTCTAATTAAATATTTATTAAATTCAAAAATGCATTTCCAACATTGGCCAGCAGAAGGCAGCAGGCTAACATATTGAATTAAGTTGACATACCCCCCCCAAGAATACATAATCACACACGTTTAACAGTGAGAATCTCTGACCAAAGGTTAAATAAGAACTTCAGTTACACATTATATATGTTCTTTTTTAAATCTCAGAAATGAAGCTAAATGAGGGAGTATTGTTTGTTTTCAAAGCTGCGCCTTATAGACTGGGGTTTGGCAGAGTTTTACCATCCATCCCAGGAGTACAACGTCAGAGTGGCATCACGATACTTCAAAGGCCCAGAACTTCTGGTGGACTACCAGGTAATATGCGCAGAGCCACATTGTTACAACCCAACTAATTTTCTCTCACATTTACATCTTTATATAAAATATATATAAAATATGATTCTGTGTTCTCATTATTGGCTGTTTGATATTTTTTGTGTTTCAGATGTATGATTACAGTCTAGACATGTGGAGCTTGGGCTGTATGCTGGCCAGTATGATTTTTCAGAAAGAGCCCTTTTTCCATGGACAGGACAACTATGACCAGGTATCTCAAACATGCAACTCCCACACAATTGAGAAAACAGCAGCACACTTGCTCTAAATGAGACAGATTAGTTAAGGTCCTTAATTACAAATGTCATGTGTGTTGTATTCATCTCTGTACACTGTTTGGGGCATCCAGTGTCTCAGTTAGGCACAGGATGTCTCTAACATGTAATGGAGACAACCTGTATTTGTATACAGGACCTTTAACCGGATGTCATCTGTAGAGTCTCACTCTCAAGTGTCAGCCGTAGTAATTACATGAGGGTACTATAGTTCAGCACAGACAGATCTTGAGTTTTAAACTAGAAGGTATATACGATTTGAAGAGGGACCAAAGAAGGTTTTTCAGGGTGAAGTGAAAAACCTTTAAGATAGTCATTTTACCAATTTTTATGTTATATGTAATATTAATCTTATAAGAACTTATTCAAGGTGGTAGGTGGCCTATAGTGTTAACCCTGTTGTGTTTTGTTTTTTAGCTGGTGCGAATTGCCAAGGTCCTAGGGACAGACGAGTTGTTTGGCTACCTACGTAAATACCATATTGAACTTGACCCACGCTTCAAAGACCTGTTGGGACAGTAAGTACTCTGACTTAGGGATTCAATTGACAGTACAATAATTATAAAGTGATGTCAGGAGCAGAATGCCATGTAAAAGTTAAAACTGAATTCAGGCTACAAATAATTGAATGACCAGCAGAGCAGAAAAACACGAAAACTGCTAATTTACTTTTACACTCCGTGTGCTTAAGTCCTCCTATTCTTACACTCAACCTTGGAAGGAGTTAGAAAACCTTGTCAACTCCCATTTGTGAAATAAATAAATAAATAAATAATAGAAATAAAATTCAATGATAATATCTTGTAATCAAGGCAGTCCTGATAAGGAAGGACTCAGTCCACCTTTTCCACTACAGCTCCAAGTTGTAGCCTCTCTTAGGTTATGTGCTGAGGGAAACATCTGCACCTGCTTGATCCAAATAGTCACAACCCCAAAAGGTGCCATGTGGAGTTGTTCTGGTAAGCATTAAATGTTCCTTAAGCCCCTTGTGGTAAATGTTAAATCTACCTGAGCTTGTATAGTACGTTTCTATAACTCTGACTACTCAAAGCACTTTAACACACCTACCCATTCAAACTACGGTCAATTCTTATTCTAAATTCGAGCCCGAGAGGCCAAATTTCACATTCGAACTGTAATGAGCCGCTGATATTGAAAATTTACAGTCTATCAGTGCATCAGGCTGTCTGGAAAAGTTTTCAGTTTGAGCTAACCAAGGAAACGGGGCTGTGGACGGATCCTGGAAAAGGACAAACTATCGCGATCGTGTTTGGCATTATTGTGGAGAGTTGGGAGTGAATCAGTAAGGGTTCATACAGGGAGCAAAGCAAGCCTAAACAAGCAACTGCATTTTAGAAAACAAGTCCAAAAACCTGCAACCCGCGATACTGATTGACATTTATCATACCTCTGCCTTCAATGGGTAGGTGTAACCTGCCATGCAAAAAGCGCTTTGAGTAGTCAGAAGAATAGAAAAGCCAAAAGAAGTTTATTTTGAAGTCCATTTACTATTTACCATTTTTGGACAGTTACCATAAACTTGGTTTAATATAACTCAAACAGCTGACCTTGTACTCTTTGGAGTAGTTTATTGCCTGCCAATTCAAGGGCTCATAATCTCTTGGAAAACCTGAGCTGTGGCTTTTCTATTGAAGTTCTAATCAAAAGAGACTACTATTGAGTTCATGAAGGTTCATACTTTTGACATCCTAGACAAAAATAAACTTGAGCCAAAAAAACATGTAATTGATATTAGTGGCAGCACTCAGTAGATGTCACCTCAGCCTTGGTGGTTATTTGTGTAACTGCAGGCAGAGCAGGAAACGCTGGGAGCAGTTTGTGCAGACAGAAAATCAGCATTTGGTGAGTCCTGAAGCCTTGGACCTTCTGGACAAGCTGCTACGTTACGACCATCAACAGAGATTGACGGCCACAGAGGCCATGGAGCATCCATACTTCTGTAAGCAAGACACAAACTGCAACACAACAAATAGAGGGCACAGACAAAGGTATAAACGAACATGAAGCCTAACTACAGTAGAAGCTTGATTTTAGGTTTTTATCATGATTTAGAGCATTAACTCAACAGTAATGAAGTGATTGCTGTGACAAATATAAATACAAATACAGTGTCATGATAACATTTAGCTCAAGCATATTTTGTAAGGAATTATTTGAATGTGTTTCTTGCTCCTCTGCAGACCCAGTAATAAAGGAGCAGTCTCTGTCAAACTCTGACAACAACATGGTTTCCAGTGGCAACACTACAGCACGATGAAACAGGTAACAGTTTCAAAAGATACTTGATTGGTTCTGAGTTTTTTGATTACATTTTTCACTATTTCATTGTTCTATATAATTGACATTGATTTTATAGACTTTTAACTTTTTATAAAACTATTATCCATCAATACCAGAGTTTCTGAGATGTGGGCTTGGTCAATTGTCAATCCGATTAACTTTTTTTTACCACAACACAGGTAGCAACCTACAAAATCAGTTTGAATTCAAATTAACTAAATCCACAATCAACACGACCCTACTGGTCTGTGGCGATTAGTAAATGCTATAAGACACAAGTCAAAAAATATATAAATAGATGGATGACACATTCAAAGAAAAATGAAACAACGTCACTTTACATGATCATCTGCATGTGTAACTTTATGTTTCTTGACTCAGGTATTTGGGTTTTTTCCTTTAAATCGTCACCCGTCTCTTGTTACTGATGGGTCCAAGGGACTGATTATGTATTTAGATGTGCCCACTATTAGTTTTCTGAATAACATTTAGTAAAATTCAAATACCTTTAAGGGTAGAAGTTTGTCGAAGTATCTGGGAAATGTTTTCTGTAATAGTGACCTCTCTTTTCCTTGTTGTACCCTCTTTCTTTGGTGTTTTCTTTCTCTCTACAGGAGTGGAAGAAGAAGGATGTTTGTTACCTCAACTTTTTACATGGTTGTGACAGTAACTCTAAATGTACAGTGACAATGGATCAAAGTAACTCTGACCAGTTACTGACTCAAAGATATGTGCATACGGATACACAAATCTATACAAACAAAACTCACAGATCATGCAAGCACACCCTTTCTACAAACACACATGCAGACAAGTATACATATACCCTCCTCTGTATCAGTTTGCAATTGGCTTGTCCTTTTTTCATGTCTAATACCCCCGAATAATGATTTTGAAGCTGCTTCCTTTTCTTTTGCAAACTATTTCAATCCCAGATCAGTTGCAAGCAGGATGAAAAGGACAAACTGCTTTTAAGGACAATTTACTCTCAGCTCTCTCTCATAACTTCTCCTCCCCTCTTTGTTTTGCATCAGCATGGAGAATGAAAAGGAGTGTAAGTCTGTAGAAGTCTCTTCCCTTCCCTTATTTCTATACTCCCACCTGTTTATTCATGGGTATGTCTGTCTCCCCTCCATCCTTCCATTCTGACCCTCAGACAGACAATCTTAGCACTACTCCAGTTCTGAAAGTGGCATGGTGGACTTTAAATAGAAGGATGATAATACTTATAATATTAATGACAAATAAATGATTTTTATTTAGATGAACTCTGCCTGTGTCTAAATTGAATTTTGGTTGGTGGTGGTGGGAATTACTGAGCTGTATAGGACAACCTGGGATCCGGGCCCCCTCGGAGGGACATATTGATAAAAACACTTGGTGCAAATGTCTTCCAGTAAGAACAAGTGTGTGTATATACCTATTCTGATTAAAATGTTATCAATAAAAACTATAATTTTTGACAGCATTCTATCACTGTATCACAGCCTAGGGGGGGCTAAGATACAAATGTGTGGAGGTGGAGGTGGGGGTGCGGGGGTGCCAAAGGAAAAAAAGTTGTGAACCTCTTGTGGAGGAGACTTAAGCTTCTGTTTCTACACTTATTTGGCCAAATTCCTGCTGCTCATTTATTGGTTTAATTTCTAAGAATAAGTTTGTTTTGTGTATCACTGCATGAGGTATATATTCTTTCTATGACAAAAAAAAAAAAAATTATTAAAGAGCCCATATTATGCCCTTTTTGGGATTCGTATATTTAATCTATGTACCTACTTTTGTATGTTCACAATAGCTAAAGTCTGAAAAAAGTGTCTGTTTTCATGTACTGCTCCTCCTTGCTCCCTCTACGCGTCAGCTGCACTCTGCTGAGCCCCCACTGTTAGACCCCACGTGGGCCAAGTCTGCTCTGATTGGTCTGCCGATCCGCTCTGTCCTTATTGGTCAGTTGCTCAGCACGGTTCTCGTAAATGTCCCGCCTCTTTTACCATATTTGGAATGCAGCCACTGGCTCCGTCTGAGGGGAGCATAAACATTAGCACCTTAGCACTACTGTGCTACCGCAGGCTACGGCATATCGTGGGCGTGCTACAGAAGTTAACAGGCGTGCAACATGAGCTGCAGGGCTTGCCACAACGAGCCAATGGGCTTAGATCAGTGATCTCACACTGACAATGACGTCAGACTGACAAATTTTTATCGAGGGGGGCTAGAACCGAGCGTTACATGCAGCTAATGCTACAGCTAACAGGAGGACGTAGGAGAAGTCGCGTTTCCGCGGACTTTGAATTTTTGCACATAGATGTGCCTAAACATGTACAGGACACTTGGAAAACACACTGACGAGCATATAAAACCAGAAAAAGCATAATATGGGACCTTTAAAAAATATATTAAAAATAATTATGAAATAGAAAAAACTACTAAATGCAAAGTACAGTTCAACACGTTGCTCTCAAAAGTAACAGATCAACTCTTCTTAGGGGGCAGCTTTTGGGCCTTTTATTGGAGAGACAGAACATGGATAGGATTTTGAACCCTGGCCGCCTACTTTGAGGACTTCAGCCTCCGTACATGGGGTGCGCAAACTAACCACTCCAACACCGGCGTCCCGATTTATGCTTATTTTAAGTCTGTATGATAAGAATTTATCCCTTATTAATCCCATGAGGGGAAATTCAGTTTTACACTCTGTCCAGTAACCATGCACAAACAGGATCCTGTGGACATGCATTAATGGAGAGGTCTCAGAGTGAGGGGGCTGCCCACAGCGAGCGCTGCAGAGCAGTTTTTGGGTTCGGTGCCTTGCTCAAGGGCACCTCAGCAGTGCTCAGGAAGTGGACTGGCACCTCTCCAGCTACCAGACCAATTTCCTGACTTGGTCTGTGAACCGGTGACCTTCCGATTCTGAACCCAAGTTCCTACAGACTGAGCTACAGCCCCCCAGTCTCATGTACATGAATTCAGTTAAAACTGAACCTTTAATCTCCACCTTGATTTCCACACCCATAAATAAAAGCAGACAATATGACTATATTTTCCAAACGTGGATTGCAATGCAGTTCTACAGTAAAGCAAGTACACACAACATACAAGTAACAGGGTGTTGGAACAGTAAATACGCATTTGCTGGATGACTATCAATAAGCTAATGAAATAGCTGAATGACAGAGTGGTTATAAAAATACAGCTTGATTTTTAAATGTCCTTAGCAAATTTAAAAGATGGATGTTGTTTCAGTTTCTTTTTCCACAAATCCTCATACATACTTTTCCTAACAACATTAAACAGCAGTCAGACAGAGATAGGATCAGGCTGCTGAATGTGGTAGAACATATAATGTATAATTCATTTGCAGTAGTTCATGTTGTATAATGAAACATACACGTTTAAGGGGTGTTGCCTAATTTCATTGTCCGACTTAGTGAATGCAAATATATGATGACGCACGTTTACTGTTTATCCCACAGCCGACTCAGCCTCACCTTGTTAACACTGTGTTACTATTTCATTGAGCGAGGACGTGCAAAGCTATTCAGCGCAGCTTGTTGCATTATCCAACTTGCACAATGAAAATTGAACCAAGGAAGTCGACAACCGGAAACAGACACAGCTCGCCTTCTTAATAAAATCTGCGCGTTTCGAATCGTGATAGCTACGTATGCTTTCACTGAGGACGAGCTGTAAGCGTACTGAGTACTCTCGGCTTTATTACATTATTGGAAGAGATAAACAACATTAAAATAATCAGCTCCACTAATAATAAAGTGGAAATGACAGTTTTTCTGGCTTTCGTAGATGCATATTCCATCATTTGATGTGGCTCAAAGCCTGCACAACATGCTGCAACCTGTATCACTGCCCCTGTGACCAAAATAAACCCAACAAATTCATATTAACCTGGATGTCCACAGCAAAGATGCCATCCCGTTTTAAGGTATGTATGTATGTATGTATGTATGCGTATAGATAGATAGCATAAGTCTCCGTGTGTATCTTTTTATTTTTTATTATTAGTCCCTGCCTTTTTTTGCTTTATTTGTTTACTCATGCCAATAATAATCATAGTTATTAAAGCACATTTAAAAACACGAGTTTACAAAGTGCTTTGATAATTAAGAAAAGTAAACCAAACAAACAGGTAACTTCGAAAGTAACAAGCAGGTCAGTCTCAATCTCCCTTCTATTGCACCATTTGGTCTTTAAATCAGGCTAACAATTGTACAATATTTCATTAAAACTATGGTGGCACATTCTTTCCATGTTAACCCCTAATGTGCGGTGAATGTGAAGACTGTGCCATTCCTTGTGACAGTTCTTTATGATTTCAAGTTTCACCTTGTGATGTTTTTAAATTGAACAATAAACTAATTGATGCTTAAGTTATAAATTAATGCCCTGATCAACAAACCTTGGTTTTATTAAAGTTGCTGGGAAGGGCAAAACAAAGGTTCAAAACATTTTTTTGAGATGGCTTTGATAAAGAGTAGTAAAAGATTTGTCCTTCATGTGATATTTGCATATTTGCACGTTTTTTAAATATGTTTTTTATTTTATTTTAATGCAGAGAGGTAACTAGAGACTCTGTAGGGTGACAGCTGGCTTGAAAAAGAAGTGGACAAATGGAAGTGGTATGATTTTTATGCTTCTTACCCAAAAGGGATAAAAGTGCATCATCATATATTTGCATTCACTAAGTCGGACAATGAAATTATAGGCAACACCCCTTAAACGTGTATGTTTCATTATACAACATAAACTACTGCAAATGAATTAAACTTCGTACACGGACCGTCACCCTTGTCTCTACAGCATGGTTCTACTGATTCGAGTTGACAAAATTCAGTTATTGCACTGCTTACCTTGCATATTTGTTTGTAAACAGTATCAATCACTGATTTTGTTGTTGTAGCACTCTCAAAATTACTAGATTTGATCATATAAATACTTATTTTTCTAATCTGTTTGAATACTCACCCTAATGTTATTTTAGCAGCTCTGTTGTACTCTTTATATAATGGCAAAACTAAACTGTATGTGGTTCATTGCAATTTATACATTTCACTGTTGCTTTCAGGTAGTGAATGTCTTTTTTAGGGTTGAGGATGGATGTTAAGTATTGGCTTACTACTTCCTACTTGCAGAAACTAGAGCTTTTGCTGTAGCTCCTGTTCAATGACCTGACTCCTCACTCGTGCAGCCACACTTCCCCTCCCAGTCTGTCACGCCTCTTCAAACACCTACACGATCCATCTCTGTGTGCAAAATTGGTGGTGAGCTGTATTTTCCACAATAGCCATCTGATGAATAACACTGAGTAGTAAACAAACCTATTAACCATGTGATAAGTACTTTTCCATCTGACTATACTCCTCTTCTAGTTCACCTGTTAACCATTCGCATACAGGGTACAGAACTGAAACTGATAACTTAAATTTGTGTATAAAATCAATTATTAGTTGCTGCTTGTATGACATTGAACTTAAATTTAAGTGGAAAGTCTTATCTATTTACCAATCCTGTGCTTTGTAGTGAATAAGTTTCTAATTGGACATAACCTCAATTTAATAGTCATAGTTTTTAAATTTCACTTTGGCTTTTCCTGCTGTGACATCCCAACAATTTTGTGATTCTAGGCCTTTTCACTATACTTTACTCATGTATAAATAATTAATTCAAAAGGGCTTGATTCTATTCAGCTACTTTAGTTACAGTCTCCTGTTGTGTTTGCAGGTTCACTGACTCCCTGTGTTTTTCCTACTGTGAACAGTCAACATTTCTACAAAGCAGCAAATGTTGCTTTAACATAATTTGTTCTGGAATCTTCCTTGCTTTTGTTACACAAGGTCTATCTACCACAAACCTATCCAGGACCATCCTAATTTATATTTTTATAACATATGCTATGAAGAACAATAACTCTTCAACATCTTTATTCAACTGAATCAAATTCTTTAGGATTAATGTAAAATAAAGTGGAGATGAAAATGTTTTGGTTTGTTTTATTCATCAGAATGAGATAGAAGAAGGGGAAATGCTGCTTCTGCTGCAGTAATCAACCTAAAGTGGTTGGAAGACTATTGAATTGCAAAGCATTATTATTATTACTTTAGCTAAATGGCTCCAAAGCACCCCCTTGGCATTTTCATTAATTCATCCCTCACACTCAGTTTACCTACAAGAATGAAAATTGGTAGGTATATGAACCATGGTTATACCTAAAACAAAAACAGGATGTCAGCCATTTTCAATTAATTTCCAATTCAATGTC